AAGCCCTAAACCCTAAACCCTAAACCCTAAACCCTAAACCCTAAACCAAAGCCTTTCTGAGCAAAGGGTCCTCCCGCAAACCAGGCGCAGCAGGCGGGAGTTGGCATCCTGCTGCTTGCTGGTTCTTAGTAGGTTTAGGGTTTAGGGTTTTGGTTTAGGGTTCAGGGTTCAGGGTTTAGGGTTTAGGGTTTAGGGTTTCGGGTTTAGGGTTTGGGGTTTGGGGTTTAGGGATGTTTAGGCCTTCGGTTGGTAAGAGGGTTTTGGGGTTTAGAGTTCCCGTTTAGAGTTTCAGGGTTTAGGAGAGAGGGTTTGGGTAGTTGTCCAAGTTATGGGGTCCCACTACGGCAGTTCTCTAAGTCACAGTCCCCTTTTCGGGGTACCCTAAATAATAGGGGCCGCCTTATATCAGTAACCCTAACAGGGACCATGCTTTTGAAGCAGTGACCGCTTTGAATTTCTTTGAACGGGGGCCGTACTATCATAGGACCCAAAACAGGCATCCTAACTTAGAGAACTACCCATTAAACAAAAAACCTGGCAACCTGCAAGGGAAGCCGACCTAGCTGCCTGGACCGAGCACCGAAGCTAGTGACGTCATGCAGGGTTTGGTAGGGATTTAGGGTTGAAGGTTTAGGGCAGGGTTTCGGGGGACTACATCACTTGTCGCAGGCACTCGTGGGAACTCATGGAAAGGGGTAGCTAGATCCGCAGCTCCCCAGCAGGTGAGGTCTAGGTGTAGGGCCGACGACGGCTTCATCGGGTCGTTGCGTGTTTTCAAGGGATCGCTTTTCTGCACAGGTGTCGCAGAAACTTCATGAAGGCATGAAGGGACGGGCGAAGGGTCATGACGCCCTGGGCACGCCAGCTTCCGTCAGCAAATCCTGAACCCAAGTGTGGTCTCTCACGACATCGCCGTCTTGCTCATCAACGCCAACGCCAGCTGCAAGCAGCATTCGCACCACCTCAACTCGGTCATGTGCAATCGCTTCTCTCAGGGCGGTACCCCAGCCCTTGAAGCTTGTGTCAGCCCTCTCTTCAAGCAGTAGACGCACGACATCGAGGTGGCCTGTGGCACATGCGCGGAACAGAGCTGGACTCGTTCTCCTCCACGTGTATCTGATAACCCCGTCATAGCTCTGATCTTCACGAAGCATGCGCACATTCATGTTGACGCCGCGCTCAAGCAGGTAACGCACAACTGCAATATTTCCATGCTCTGCAGCATCCAAGAAGTCACTTCTAGTAGGAGGTACAGATACCAGCACAAGCTGCAAATCCATGGGCGCATCCACTACTTCCATGTCGTCCAAGCAACGGCTTTCATGCAGCAGCTGCTGCATGCTCTCTGGAGACCCCGAGGTGTTGCGCAAGTGGCGCTTCAGAGATGTCACGGAACCGACACCATCACGCAACTCCATCCACCGTACTCCGGTGAGGGAGGCAAGCTCTTCCCCAGCAGTATTCAGCACGCGCAACATCTCCGGGGTATGGGAGTAGCAGCTCCTTGTGGACGCATGTGGGCACTTACTGCAAGATGATGCTTGCAATCGTTGCTGTGAAGTTGGGGCAGCTCGTGAAGATTTGGGCTCTATAGGGCCCTAAACGGCAACACTAAAATAAAGACAAGCCCGAAGGGAGCAGTGGCAGCAACACACATCAACCCGAAAATGTCTGTAGAGAGTCGAGGTGCAAGAAGAGGAGGTGGGCAAGGGATGCAACCTCCCCACACTATCGTGCTAAAGCGAATGTCAGTGCTACTAGGGGGTCTACAGCGTTAGATGGAGGGGATGAAAGGCGAAGTCTTCTCAGCATCAGAGGCTCCGACATACGCAGCCTGGGCCTGACCTGTCTCTTTCTACCACATGAAGCCCGCAAAGGCACCTCCTCAGCCCGAATCTCTCAACCTAAGCCCTGAACGCCAAACCCTAAACCCTAAACCCTGAACCCCAAACCCTAAACCCTAAACCCTAAACCCTAAACCCTGAACCCTGAACCCTGAACCCTAAACCCATTCTTATTCTTGTTCTGTATCTAGGCCGGAGGTTAAAAAAAGCCAGAAAGACTCACAACGAGCACTGCGACCAGCAACCTTAAGCCCCGAAAGCTCCGTTTTCAGAATCTGGCGGTTAGGGCTTAGGGCTTAGGGCTTAGGGCTTAGGGCTTAGGGCTTAGGGCTTAGGGCTTAGGGTTTAGGCTTTAGGTTTTAGGGTTGTAGGGTTTTGGGGTTTTGGGGTTTAAGGGTTTAGGGTTTAACCCCTCAACCCTAAACCCGGCCTCACACATGTGGGCCAGTTCCGCACATGTCTCAGCACCCAACTGGCCCACCCTCGGCAGCAGAGAGCTTCAGGGGTTGGCTAGGGTTTAGGGTTTAGGGCTGAGGGTGTAGGCTTTCGGGAGCCTGCTCGGTTTGCGGGCTTGAAGTGTAGGCTTTTCCGGAAGTCTCCTCAAACCCTTCAGTTGTCAAGTCGTTTGGGTCTCCTTCTCAAAGCTTGCGATGGTCCATGCAACGTCCGGCTGTCAGCGCAAGGACCCTTTCCTAAATCTAAAGCTTAGGGTTTAGGGTTTAGGGTGTACATAGAGGTCTAGGGTTTAGGGTTACATAGAGGGCACTTGATAAGACGTATAGCGACTGAAAACTAGGGTTGCAAGTACCCTAAAAAAGGTCATCAATAGAGTTACCTTACTTATAACCCTACTTGCAACTACCCATGTACCTCCAAGCAGGGTTTATGGGGTGCATAGGGGAAACCCTAATCCCTAAACCGTAAGCCCTTTTGCAGCGGGCTTGGAGGGTGTAACCCTAAACCCTAAACCCTACACCCTACACCCTAAACCCTAAACCCTAGAACCTAAACCCTTTCAGAGCTCAGGTGAAGGGGCATCGCCGCCGCGCTCCGGAAGTGGGGTCCGTAGCCAGCGACCAGCTGAGGCCTTCTTTTTCGGGTTTATAGGGTTTAGGGTTTAGGCCTTCTTTTTTGGGTTTATAGTATTTAGGGTTTAGGGTTTAGCGTCTAGGGTTTAGGGTTTGGGGTGCTGTGAGGTTGGCGTTGAGGTTCACGGCTGAGGTTCTGGGTTGTTTTGGGGGTAAAGGGTGTCAAGGCTCAAGGGTTCGAGTTGGGGAAGCTGTGGGGTTTAAACTGCTTTGCTAGGTTGCCCAGTAAACTAGGATGCAAAAGGGTGCCCTTTTTTGCCTAAAGGGGTTTATAAGGGAACCTAAACCTACCAAAAAGGGAATAAGGGTACTACTGGGCATCCTAGTTTGGGACACTTGCATGAAGCAAGGCTTCCAGCATTTAAGAGCCCAAACCTACTTGTCAAGTTGTTCTACAAGGTTTTGCAGCACGCACCTGCTAGCAATGTAGGTTTGGGTTCTGTAGGTATCGGGCTCGCGCCCAATTTGTTCAATCCCCCGCATATGCTTGCTTCTGGCTGCATCTTGCCTCAGTACTAGCTCAAACTGAAACTGCACATACACATCTGGGTCTTGGCTCAACATCATTCAAATTGTTGCCTCAACCCTCTCTCTCAGCCAGAAATGACGTCGGAGGCGGAGGGAGGTTAATTCTCTCCTCATGTGCCCAAATCTGCAAGTCCAAGATTGTCGAGATGAGGTCACTTGAAACAGTGATATTGGATTAAGGCGGAAAGTTTGTGGGTTGCCCATAGGCTCATAAGGTTATCCATAGGGCAACTATGGTGTAGTAGGCGAACTATATGATATTGATAGGGTACAGCAAGTACAGGGCAACCCAACACCCTAAACTCCACCCCTAGTTATGGGGTTTTAGAAACCCTAAACCCTAAACCCCAAACCCTAGTTACAGGGTAGTGAAACCCTAAACCCTTGACTGGCTGGTTCTTAGTAGAGAATGAGGGAATGAGGTACCCTGGGTAGTCTGTATAATCCCTTCAAGATTTTGTAGGGTCCTAATTCCCTCATTCCCTACGAAGAAACAAGGGGTAAGGGAAAGTCCCATCCCAGAAAAGCCAAAGGCCTAAACCCTAAACCCCAAACCCTAAACCCTAAACCCCCAAAGGGCAAAGGCAAGGCGGGAGACCCTGCTTCGGTGTGCCATTGCTCTGCGTCGAGGCCTCAAAACTTTCCGGTTTGGGGTTTAGGGTTTAGGGTTTTTTTGCCACCCGCTTAGGTTTAGGGTTTAGGGTTTAGGGTTTAGGGTTTAGGGTTTAGGGTTTAGGGTTTAGGGCTTAGGGTTTAGGGTTTAGGGTTTAGGGTTTTAGGGCATGGCTTTCTTTCTTTTAGGGTTTCGGGCTCGGTTGCTTAAACGTTTAGGGTCTTGGGGTTTAGGGGTTTAGGAGTTTAGGGGTTACAGGGTTCAGGGTTTAGGGGTTTAGGCACCTTCTTGGAGGGCTCAGGAGGTTTAGGGTTTCTTTTTCGGACTCGGGGTGACAAGCCTTAGGGGCAGCGAGGCAGATGGGCCGGAGTCTCGGTAGCCCCGTAATCACATTAGAATAGAGGGGGCACTTTGGGGTTGGGTACTTTATAAGGGAAGCCCAGAAGCAAAATCACAGGGTAAAGGGTACCACCATGCTACCAAGGAATGAATAGGGGATCATGCTTTGCTGCTGGCTCGGGTTCTTACACAGCAGGCCTTAGCCTTGAGGACCACATGAAACCTAAAATTGGGGTCGTACCCAAAACCCTAAACCCCTTTTAGGGTTGAATTCGTACCCAAGGAGCCTGAAGCCTTCACAGGAACTCTGACGGCCGAGGTGCAGAAAGGAAAGCGGTTGGCTGCCTCCTCCATGGTCATCGCCAGGTTAGCCGCGAACGCGTCCTCCGGACATAAGGACTATGGGATGGCTTTAGGTTTATAGGATTTTGGGCTTAAGGTTTAGGGTGAAGGGTTTAGCGCTTAGGGAGGGGAGGTCAAGGGGTATGTAAGCAAAGTTTTCGGGCAAATGACTGCAAGCGATTGGGTTTAGAGATGAGGGTTTGGGGTGCATGAATGTCTGGGTTTGTACTTGGGTCTTAACTACCATCAGACAAGCAGGTACTGCATGCAGAGTTTCGCTAAGGGCTTCAACCGCACAGCCCTGTCCGTGTCAGCTGCAAAAGAGATGTACTTGGCCACTGACCTGAGCTGCAAACCCTAAACCCTAAACCCTAAATCCTAAACCCTTTTTGCTTCAGGGCTCCTGTGCTAAACCCTAAACCCTAAACCCCAGCCTGAGAAATCAACAGCTCCTACTAGTGGGCATTGTAGGCCTTAAAGGCTTCTTCGGTAGCCGCCAAAGGCTAAAAAGCCAGCAGCAATGATGTAGGTTTAGATATGCCCTTTTCTGTCTTTCCTATACTCCCCTTAGAACCTTAATAACAATTGTCTTTTTCATATCCTCTCGGGGTTTGATAAAAATAATTCCCAAGAGGGATATAGTTTCAAGAAGACAAGCCACAAGTTGCCCCTTAGAAAGGAAGACGATCGCCTAACCCGGAAACACAAGAGGATCAGAGCCTTCCTGAGCCCAGCCCTTCGGTGTTCGGTGAGTTCATCCACCGATATGCTGATGAACCTTATAGGCCCTGTTCAAGGGGCGTCTGACCTTCCAATTAGGACCTTGAGGGGTAGGATGTCTTGTCTCAGGATTCCACCTCTGACTTGCTGCCACCAAAGTTACAAACAAGCTGGCCCTCAACCTGCGTGTGCCCTCGATTTCTTAATTGTGGTATTGCTCTCACTTGCTGCGTATAACAGGTAGGCTGAGGGCCCTTGTTTCTGAATCCGGCGATTTGAAAAAGAGTGCTGGCGCTGTAAGAAGAGCTGACCCTCCCCCCACTCAACTGAAAGCAGTGCGGCCCATCAATCTCTTGTTCCGGGATGGGCTTCCTGCCGTCTCCCATACATCCAGCTCCCCCACTTCTTAAGTTTGGTGGAGGGGAAAGGCTTAGGGGAGGGGGAACCCTCAGAGAGATATAGAGGGTTTAGGGTTTCGGATTTAGGACAATCATCCTTGGCTGCACTCAGGAAGGTAGCTATAAATTAAACTTTTAGCTGCCTTAGTAAGAAACCCAATAAACCCAAAACAGGTAAGGATCTAAAGTTACAGTAAAGTACCACAAAGCATCCTTTCCGTTACGTGCAGCCCAGCCGCATGTTGGCCAGGTTCCCCTTGGCATGCTCGCCCACAGCCAGCTCCCCGAGACTGAAAGAATCCTGAGCTCTCACTCCAAAAACCATCAGCCCGAAAAACGGATTACGAGATACGAAGCCCTAAGCCCTAAGCCCTAATTCAGCTCTAAGCTCTAGCCCTAAGACCTACCCCCTAAGCCCTAAACTCTCTGCCGTTCTGCTTGGCTTTCAGGGGAAGGACTTGAACACTACGAGCTGCCTGCTGAGGCTGCTAGACGCAAGAGCAACCCAGAAATGCAAAGGTTGCCCTTTTTGGATTGAAGTGTGTTTGTTAAGGGAACCTAAACCCTAAAGTGAAGGAATAAGCGCCTACTCTGGGTCCTAGCCCTAAACCCTAAACCCCAAAAAAAAAGGAATAAGCCTACTCTGCGTCCTAAGCCCGAACCCAAAGCCCTAAAAAAGGGGAAGAAGGGGTCCTCGCCCTAAACCCTCAACCCTAAACCATCCTAACCCCGAATTAAGCCCCAAGCCCTAAACCCTAAACCCTATAGACCCGAAACCCCAAGTAAACGTGAAATAAGGGCCTACTCTGGGTCCTAGGCTGCGTGTCTGGCCTGTCCCGGTGGATCTTGTGCCGATTTGCAGCTCCCAGGATGCTAAAAAACCGAACTTCACGGAATGATGCCGCGCCAACCGCCGTGGGTTTAGGGTTTAGGGTTTAGGGTTTAGGGTTTGGGGTTTAGGGTTTAGGGTTAGGCGGTTTAGGGTTTAGGGTTTGGGGTTATGAGGCTGAGCTCTTGAGACAGGCAGCGGATAAATTTGCAAAGGGCACCGTGCGAACTCCGATGGGCAGCTGCTGCTCCTGCCGCCCATGGAGTTCGAGCAGGACCTATCTTCCAGCGGGCTCCGAACCTAGACCCCAAGCCCTAAGCCCTAAACCCTAAACCCTAAACCCTAAACCCTAAACCCTAAACCCTACACCCTGCACACACCCCCTAAAGCCGTTTTGCAGCTCGGAGCCACCCCAGAAAACCCAGAGAGCTAGAAAAGCTATTCTTCAGGGTTCTGGGGTGTTTAGGGTTTAGGGTGTTAGTGCTTTAGGGTTTGGGGTTTCGGGTTTTGGGGGGATTGAGAAACTAGGATTTAGGGACTTTCGAAGCTAGGAGTGAGTGACCCTGTTACCGTTGCCTGAACTTGGGTTGTTTTCTTGCCATCCGGTTTAGGAGTTTGGGGTTTAGGAGTTTAGGAGTTTGGGAGTTTAGGGGTTTAGGGTTTGGGGTTTAAGGGTTTATGGGTTCTTTTTTCGCCCTGATGGCCCTCGAGGTCTGGGTTCTGATGGACAGGGTTGAGGGTTTAGGGTTTAGAGTTTAGGGTTTAGGGTTTAGGGAGTCCTCATTGAAGGCCATGACGAAGTCTTGGTTGTGCTCGCAGTACTCCTGCATGTGGCGCGGTTGAAACCCCCCCGAATGCCTTGAACCCTAAACCCATTCGTAACCGTATACCGTAAACCCGTTTCCCTAAACTTTTGTAAAGCGAAATAGGTCTCGCCATCCCGAAACCTCTCTTTCTATAACCAGAAAAGAGAAACAATCACGCGCGAGCCTTCTTCACGGCGATCATCGCCTGCTGCAGAGGCATCACCCAAAGCAACAAAGGTGTCAGGGCCAAGACGAACACCATGACGAAGATGAAGAAGCCTTCCTCAGTTGTCATCCATATGCAGTAAAGGGCTGAGGCTTCGGTTGCGCTTATAGTGGGTACTGGCATTTGCAGACAGCCGGAACCCATTTGAGTTTGGTGTGTGGTGTACGGCATGATGGTCTAACTCGCGTGAGGTGCAATTACCCCGACCCCTTAAACCTTCTCGCAACCGGCTAGTCGAGGCCACGCCTGGGCTGGCCGGAATTCCGACCTTGGGGCAAATGAACCCCCCAAATTGGGGGTCATATACCCTATACTACTATAATCCCTGTTAAGGCATATGAACCATAAACCCTTTTAAGGCTCAATTGGTCCCCAAGGTACACCTCCCATTTGCAACACCTCAAGGCTCCCAACGGGCCTGACGCCACCGCCAGCTCCAACGTGAACCTCTCCCGAAACTCTCTTCCCTAACTATCGCCCCCACTCCCGTCCACCCGCAAATACTCAATGTTCCCATGATCGTCTACTACGTTACTACGTGGAGGCTACTCTAGTTTTTGTATTTATTCTGCTATGGTATTCTCATATCATTCTTGTATTGTCACACATTGTTGTCCATGTTGCTAACATCATGCCGTGATCTTGCTGTATGATAAAGGCTTCGCAAATTAACAAATAGTACCAATAATGATAACAGACTATTTCTGCGCTCGACATACTACTGGAAATGCTAATCCTGACAACTATACTTATTTCTGTATTAGAAATAAACAAACAATAACAATAATACTAGCTCTGGCCAGCTTCCAGTTGGCTCTTCGTACGCGAGTACTTCACGTTGATGGCCTCCAACTCGTAGATGGCGACCTGGATCTTCCTTGCAAGCAAAAAGAGCTCCCTTAGGGAACAGGGCATCAGTTGAACATCTTGTGCCAAAAGGCAGATTGAGGGTGGACCGTGGTCACCCGAAACCCTAAATCCTGAACGCTAAACCTAAACCCTAAACCCTAAACCCCAAACCCTAAACCGAGCGGCAAGTGAGGGCTCGACGTTTGTAGCCTACAGGAACAGAATCCCCGCAAATACCCAGCACCCAGGACGTTCGGAAGACAACGACATCCCAGTGCCATATACCAAAACATACAAGTACCTTGGACCCCTAAACCCTGAACCCTGCCCTCTAAACCCTAAACCCTAAACCCTAAACCTTAAACCCTAAACCCTAAACCCTGAACCCTAAACCCTAAACCCTGAACCTTCAACCATACCCTCCTGAATCTCAGGGCTTACTGGCAGACTCAGGGCCCAGGGTCTTGGGCAACAGCGAGGCGAAGATCATCTCATCGATCTCCAGGATGGCCTGAAGGCTCTGAACTAAGGTTCCTTTTGGGGGTTTCATGTAGGGTTTAGGGTTTAGGGTTTGGAGTTTGGGGTTTGGGGTTTAGGGCCTACTTTTAACCAACGTATAACTGGGGTTATACATACCCTAGTAGTAGCCCAGTAGCTAAGGTTGCGAAAAATGCCATACTTCTGACGCTGATTTAGAACTTCCCATGAATCTCCAAGAAAGGCTTTGCCTAGCAACATAAGAAGAAACAAGGTCACTTTCTTTGGCTTGAAGCGGGTTGAGGAGAGATCCCAGCCCCCAAAAAAGGAAGCTGGGTACTACTGGGTGTGACATAAAATCGAAGACGCGCGGCACCCCCACCGGAAATTTGCGACCTTGGTGAGGGCTTCCTGCTTGCAAGGCACGCCCAAGGCCACCGCGTTGAGAATCAGGTCCGCAATGTTCCTTCGGGGCTGCAAACCCTAGCCCAAACATGGTTACTCCCATTTTTTTTATCGTACCAGTAGGATTCTAGATAACCGAAAAGGCTAAAGGTTACCTATCCAGTCCCTATAAGGTTTCTGCAGAAGCATCCCTTCCACTTGCTTGCATGGCGGGATGGCGTCTGGGTGCTATTTCTGGCAGGGGTTGTGCAGGAGGTGCTTTGTGCTCCTCATTGCTGTCCCAAATTGGCCCATGATTTCGGGTATAACTGTTGCTGTCCGCTCCCTTGGCCCCCCAAAGCCTGTGACCGCATAAGCTCTCGTGCGCAACCAACAACAGAACCCTAAACCCTAAACCCTCAACCCTAAACCCTAAACCCTAAACCCTAAACCCTAAGCCATCGTCCCCGAACCCTATAACTTGGTAGCCCAGCACTGTATTAGAACAAGGGCACCCTTTCTGTGGGTGGGTTACTTTCTAAGGGAACCTAGGACCAAAACGAAGGGTCAAGGGTACCACCGGGCTACCATCGATTTCGACTGTTCCGGGGGGGTGGGCCGAAAGGGAGAGGAGATTCAAGAGGTTGCAGCATGAACCCGCCAAAAACTCTTGTTCAACCTACGCCTTCGTCAAACAACGTCTACCCACACCGCAACACCACAAGCCCTGGATACTGAACCAACCCGAAACAGCGAGTCGGATAAAAGGCCACACTGATTCAGCCAAGCCTAAGCCACCGAACCCTGAACGCTTGCCAGTCCTCAGTTGATGAACAGACAGCTGTAAGACAGCATCCAAAGCCCTTAAGGGCCTCAAACACCACCCTGAACCCCGAATGCCCAGAAGTCGTCTCAAAGCCAAAGCGCGTGGTGCGTGCCAGCCACTGCATGCCCGCATAGAGGAGGCCTTGCTTCTTATCTCTCATGGGCGCTTGCCGCTTGCTTGGGGGAGTTTGATCGCAGGAACTGTAACTGCGCCATCCTTAATATGTACTTACTTAAATTAAGAGCCCAAAACTCTGATTCATCCTTAGGGGAATTGAGAACAAGAGCTTGTAGAAACGTACGGTTTTGGGGGTTTCTGAAGGTAGTATTGAGCAACAGCCCTTATGGCCTGATGGGCCCAAAAAGCCCAGCGATCAACCCTTACTTCATGAGGCTTCAACTTGTAGCCTTCAGTGGGGCCTGGCAGAAGACTCACGCACTCTAAAAGTTTAGGGTTTAGGGTTTAGGGTGTAGCCCCGACTGCAACACGACCCCAAAGCCTCAGCTGAGAGGCAGGTCGCCACCACCGTCCGCGCCAGCCGTAGGGTCAAGTACCTGATTTGCTCCCAGGGTAAAGCTCGTTCGGTGTAGGGTTTCGGGGTTTGAGTCTTTGCTTAGAGCTTCGAGCTTCAACGTTGTCTCCCGCTGGACATGGGGGACCTCATGCATTTTCTAGGACAAACGCCAGTGTCTAGATTCGACGAATGCTTCTGAACCGATTGCAGATTTGCAGTGCGTTACACCAAGCTCGTCATCCGAGTCCAACATCCGCCAGGACCTTGAACCCAAAACCCAAAACCCTAACCCGAAACCACAAACCCTAAACCCTAAACCCCAAACCCGAGTCGAAAGAGGTTTAAACCCTCACAATCCGCAAACACAGCCGGGACACACCCCCAGGCGCCGCCACGTGATAGTTACGAAGCCTGAGCATCAAACCAAACATTACAGACAGACACACGCGCACACACACACACACACACACACACACACACGCGTATGTATATATCTATATATACATATACAAATTTATATGTGTATGCATGTATGTATATGTATGTATATGTATGTATATGTATGTATATGTATGTATATGTATGTATATGTATGTATATGTATGTATATGTATGTATATGTATGTATATGTATGTATGTATGTATGCATGTGTATATACATATACATATATATATATATATATATATATATACACATGTGAGTGTATGCATGCATGTATGTATGCGTGTCTGTACGTATGTCCGCATGCATGTATGCATGTATGTATGTAGGTAGGTAGGTGGGTGAGTGGGTGGGTGGGTAGGTATATGTGTGCTTGCTATAACATGGCATAGTGTGGTCTGGTATTATATAGCATAATCTACCATGGGCTAACAGGGGCTTTAAGGGCATCGAGATCTTGCCTGCGGCTTAAAGGACAAGGCAGTTCTCCAGCAACGGTGGCAAGCAAGCAGCGCACAGGTAGGCCCTATAGAGCCCGATTCAAACCCTAAACCCTCAACACCACGATGATTTATATAGGGGTTTGGGGTTTAGGGTTTACATGGGTTTACTTTTAGGGTTTAGGGTTTACTTTTAGGGTTTACTTTTAGGGTTTACTTTTAGGGTTTAGGGCTCAGCTTCAGGGTTTAGGGCCTCCAAAGGCATCCAAATCCCCTGTCCTCTCTGCAAACTTCTACCATCTCGCCGGCTCAACCCCTGAAGTTCTCAACCTTCGAAGATGGAGGCCGACCCCTCAGGGTGTGACTTGCAGTCAGGGTTTAGGGTTTAGGGTTTAGGGTTTAGGGTTTAGGGTTTAGGGTTTAGGGTTTAGGGTTTAGGGTTTAGGGTTTAGGGTTTAGGGTTTAGGGTTTAGGGTTTAGGGTTTAGGGTTGAAGGAATCTACTCGAACATACCATGCCCGATGTTTAGACCCAACTGCCCACAACTTCCACCCGCAGACTAGAACCGTGTACTTCGTTCATGGACAGTTGAAGAGTACCCTAACCAAGGTTCTGGTTTCCATACCGCAAGCCCTAGCTGTAAGTGCCCATGAACACCAAAGTACAAACACTTTCAAAGCCCTAAACCCTTAACTCCAACCCCTAAACCCTAAACCCTAAACCCTAAACCCTAAACCCTAAACCCTAAACCCTAAACCCTAAACCCTAAACCCTCCCCCCCCCCCCCCCGAGTCCCTGGCGTCCTGTCTTGAAGATAGTGACATGCGCTCGCGGTATCTGCAGGGCCGCCTGCCGTGATCCGACACAACGGCTCTCCAAAGAACCCACAACTAAACCCTAAACCCTAAACCCTAAACCCTAAACCCTAAACCCTAAACCCTAAACCCTAAACCCTAAACCCTACGTAAACCCTAAACCCAAAACCCTTAAACCCTAAACCCTAAACCCTTCGGACATGTTGGCGATTATTCTGTTTCGAAGACAAAACTGTTGGAGGATTCTTGGGTGAACATGCTGCAAGAAGTCGCCACGGATGTAGTTGAGGTGAGTACGGAAGGAGTGGATGCAAAATTCGGAAGCAATCCGGAAAACACCCTTCTGTACGGCTCCATGGTGGAGATTCACGCGCCCATAACTTTACTTGCTATCCTTTGGTTACTGCTAGAACGTCTAGTGAGTCGACACTCCCCAGCAACCTGTAGTCAAGAACCTCTCCGGCTCTTGAGCATGCGCACGCACCTCGATGGAAACCCAGATAGCTCGGAACTCTCTGCAGAGGTAGATGCACCAAAGCCTGGGGCAGTGTGAGGATCCGACAACTCGTAGCAGTGGGACCAAGCCGAAGGCTTCTCATTGCCGGTTTAGGGTTTAGGGTTGAGGGTTTAGGCCTCCTTGGGGGTTCAGGGATACGAAGTAGGATTCTAAGCAGGGCAGCTTTTCTTATAGACTGCAACCTGGACCCTAAAACCCTAAGCCAGTGAGGTGTGTGTGCGGGCCGGTTCTGTCTAGTTTGCAAGAAGGTGCTGTGAGCCCAGCCTTTAATCCTAAACCCGAAAAGCCCAAACCAAACCCGGAACCCCAAACGCCTATAAAGCCCTAAACCCTAAACCCTATAAGCCCTAATCAAACCCGGAAACCCTAAACGCCTATAAAGCCCTTCAGAGTCCAACCCCCCCAAATCCCTGAACCCAGAATCCCCTGGCTTACGGGGCTGGTAGTACTTAGCTTTGGAGTAGACCCTGGAAAAAAAAGTATACACTTTTTAGGTATAAGTAGCTATAATAGGAACCCAGAACCAAAAAAATGTATTAAAGTATAGTACTCCAAAACCCAGAGTAAGTCAGGAAAGAGGGACCGAGGGACCGAGGGCTTCCCCCTTGCGTTTAGCAACCTGATTTCCCTCATTCCCTACCAAGAGCCCCTACAATAAACCCTAAACCCTAAACCCTAAACCCTAAACCCTAAACCCTAAACCCTAAACCCTAAACCCTAAACCCTAAACCCTAAACCCTAAACCCTAAACCCTAAACCCTAAACCCTAAACCCTAAACCCAACCTTAATCCGATGTCCCCCTCGGGAGCCGCAGTCCAAGAAACAGGATGCAGAGCCCCGAGAGGATCGTGCCGGGCTGCAGGTTGCTGGGCTCCTGGGAGGAGCTTTCAAGCACGTCGGCAGGCTTTTAGGGTTTAGGGTTGGGTTCAGGGTTTAGGGTTTAGGAGCTCGCACTTGGACATGCCAGGCGAGGCACGTCCAGGTTTTAAGGGTTTAGCAGAGGCTTTAGTCATATGGCGGGAGCAAGTGGGTTGGAATGTGATGTCCCTTTTTCAGTCCGCAGGTTCTTGGCTCTGTTGGCCAAACTGTGTTCTTTTGTCGTTCTTTCTTTGCCGAGACTGCTGTGTTTGGGCAGAACTGGGGTGGGGTGGGGCGGGGGACAGGGAGCTAGACCCTCAACCCTGAACCCTCAACCCTAAGCCCTAACCCTAAAAACCCTAAACCCAAAACCCAAAAACCAAAACCCAAAACCCAAAACCCTAAACCCTAAACCCTAAACCCAACTGCCCTTCCGAGCTTCGAACGGCGCCAGAGCGGAAATTCCGAGGTAGCCATCGATCTCCCTGAGAAGGTTGGCCTGCACCGTGGACCTGAGATTGAAACCGCTTAGGGTTCAGGGTTTGGGGTTTAGGGTTTAGGGTTTAGGGTTTATGGTTTAGGGTGAGTTTGGGGTTTAGGGTTTAGGGTTCAGGGTTTAGGGTTTAAGGTTCAAGGTTCAGGGTTCAGGGTTTGGCTACTGTTCAGCTCGAAGCCCTAAGCCCTAAGCCTCTAAAGCCTCACCCAAACAATCAACAGTACCGACGTGGAAAAAGTAAACTAACATTACGTGTAAAAACATCTATCTATATGTGCACATATACATATAAAATCTGTATGTGCATACATAAATGCATATACATATTTATTTGTTTGTTTGAATATACCTCCCTCCCTCCTTGCCCCCCCCCCCTCCCCGCACCACCACTTACCCGGTGGTATGGCGGAATTTGCGGGAGAAGGGTTTGGACATTTTGCCTTTAGGCTTTTCGAGGCTTTGGGGTTTTTGATGTTTGTCTTGGCTATTTTGGAACTGGCCAAATCCAAACTGATTGTCTCACTGCTGAGAACATCAAATAATTACAACGAGCAGCCGGGCAAAAAGGTGCTAGCCGAGGAGCTGAATGAGAGATCCATCGCCGTTGCCTTATAGCTGCTGAAAGGCAGTCCCAAAATTAAATCCTTTCGCGCCCTTACACACAACCATGCAGCTGCCCTCACGACTTGAGGCGTAAGAAGAGAAAGGCCTGCTTGGTATCATCAGGGTTTCAGCATGTGACTCCAAGAATGCTCAACTTGAAAACAAGTCTCTGCGGTTTCCGGCCTGTGAGGGGTCTTTTCGGATTCCGGGGTTGGGGTCGAGGATTTCGGCTCTTAAACCCTCTCTAGGAAAGGCACCAATAAGTCCCCTCCATCCAATCCCAAAAGCCCTCTGTGATGCGACTTCGGTGCAGACTCTCGAGGCCAAACTGGTCTCGGCAAGATCCTGGGGCAATTTGGGTGTAGGGTTTAGGGTTTAGAGTTTATAGGGTTTAGGGAGCAGGGGTTCTTCCCTCAGACCTGTGGAGGTTGGCCTCTGGATTTAGGGGGGGGGGGGGGGGGGGTGGGTTGTGGAGGTTTGGTGTTGGGTGTGGGTGTTTGGGTTGAGAGCTTCAGGGATCTTCAGGGAAGAGGGTCTAATTAGGGCTTCGTGCGTTAAACCTGCTTCTTCTTCTTGAGATGTATTCAAGGAAGGTACTCGTGCGTCGCAACAATGAGGACCCCGATGCTTCAACCGCTTTGTTCAAGCTCTCGGGAGAGACCAACAAAAAAAACTGGCCTTTGGGTTCGGACTCATTGGACTGGATCACATGGAGGATACATGTATTCTGTACCGCGTGCGTATACAGAATAAGGACGGAGGGGGTCATGCCTCATATACTGTAAAACATGAATGGATGTTTATATGTGGTAGCATCTAAGCATATATACATATATATGTGTATGTGTATATACACACAAACGCACGAGTAGAATAATTAGTGTTTCTATACACTGGCTGCACATGCACCTTGTACTTTGAGTCGTGGGCGATGTTCGCACGCCACGACCTGTCCAGGCGTGCGGGCAGCTTGGAGCTTTTTGCCCCATGGTTTAGGGTTTAGGGTTTAAGGGTTTAGGGGTTTAGGGTTTAAGGGTTTAGGGTTTAAGGGTTTATTAAGGGCTTAGGGTTTAGGGTTTGCAAAGAGTTCGAGACGCCCCAACCCACAGCCATCACGCAGTTGCTGGACCAGCTTCTGACGCTCTCCATCATAAACCCACCGCATCCATGGGGTCCCAGAATAAACTAGTAGACGGAAGGTGCGAAGGACTAAGGGCTACTATCGTGAGTCCTAAGGCACCACAAGTCACACACTCGCATGTTTCTCGCCCCTTCGGTTTGAGCAATGGTACCCTACACCCTAATCCCTAAACCCTTACCCCTAGAACCCTAGAACCCTAAAACCCTAGAACCCTAGAACCCTAGAACCCTGGAACCCTGGAACCCTAAAACCCTAAAACCCTAAAACCCTAAAACCTAAACCCTAAAACCCTTAACCCTACACCCTTAAACCCTGGCCCGCCGTCCGCTCCCCCCCCCTCCTCGCAACAGCAATTTCGGACTCGAAGGGCTCTCCGAGAAAGCTGGGGGACAACAGAACGAGCACGAAGAGGATCTGCATGAAGGTGCCTCTTACTGGATGGAGCGGCTAGGCTGCCCAGTAACCTAGGCTTAAAAAGGGTGCCCTTCTTTGCTTAAAGGCGTTTATAATTAAGGGAACCTAAACCCCCAAAAAGGGAACAAGGGTACTACTGCGCATCCTAGGCGGAAAGGGGGGGGGGGGGGGGCTTGTGTTTGGGTTTCAGGTTTAAAGGCGCTTAGGATAACTTCGAAGGGCCCAGAGCCCATAGCTGTGGTTGTGTAGGCGTGTAGGCTCGGCTGCTTTCAAAGCTTGGCACCTCTAACTGGCTGAGCTTTCCAGGGGTAAAAGGTAGAACCATTCCTGAAAAAACCCACCCCCAAAAAACCGGACTCTCTGACGTTACAACTTACATGCCCTAAGCCCTAGAGGGCCTAGGGAGGCTCATGTTTCGAGTTGCAGGTCCCCTAAACCCCTGAACCCTTCGCAAGCGGCTCATTCCAGAACGCCGTTAACCCCATGAACCCTCCAACCCCTCAGACCTAAACCCGAAAGCCTAGAAACCAAGCACAAGTGTAGTTATAACCCGGTAACCCACCGATAAGCCCCTTAAGTACTGGGTGATAAGTATACAGATAACATTGGGTTCCTAATTACCCTGAACCTCCAAGCAGCCCTCCAAAAGGCACCCTTAACCCTACACGCTATACCGTAAACCCTAAACCCTAAACCCTGAACCCCAAACCCTAAACCCTAAACCCTAAACCCTAAACCCTAAACCCTAAACCCTAAACCCTAAACCCTAGCCCTAAACCCTAAACCGCCCCGAAACCAAGGCAGGGCTTCAGAGGTGTCTGGTGGTGCAGCCCATGGGGCTGGTCAAAGCCAGGATCAGGGCTAGAATGATGTCCACCCAGCCTGAAGTTTGAAGGTGCTGGGGTTTAGGGTTTAGGGTTTAGGGTTTGGATAACGGTGCAGTAGAAATCATTTCTGGCTGCCAGCAAGACGCCCGCGCCGGTGAAGCCCAAGACCAAGGCCACGTTCCACACCTCCGTTAACTGCTTCTCTAAACCCTAAACCCGAAATCCTGAACCCTAAACCCTTAACCCCAAACCCTAAACCCTAACCCTAAACCCTAAACCCTTTTTGCCCCAAACCCCAAACCCCAAACCCCAAACCCTAAACCCTAAACCCTAAACCGCAGTGAAGGCCTTTTCGGGCCGAATCGCGCCCCAAGCCCAGACCCAAACAAAAACGCAAACAAAAGCTGTTCCCGGATCCGTAGAACCTAAGCCCCACAAGGTTTAGGGTTTAGGGTTTAGGGTTTAGGGTTTCAGGCTTAGCCCCAAGAGTCTCAGACCCCTCCCACACAAAAAAACAAGCGCAAGGACCAGGAGATCACAAGCCAAGAGTCCGTTTCCGCAAACGGTATGGGCTCCTCGTCGTCTTCTTCTTCCACCTCTTTCTTTTTTTTTTTGGGGGGGGGGGGGGGGGGGGTGCAGAGTTTGGGGTTGCTGAACCACGGCGTGTTAGGCTCTAGTATTCACGCTTTATGGGGATGTATGGCTTCGGATTGCTTAGGGCTCAACGAAAAATAGGCGAATATTTCAGGCAACCTCCCTAAACTCTAAACTAAAACCTTATGAACCCTAAATCTCCCCCAAATCGCCTCTGGTTCGACGATGGTGGGGCGCACGCGCATCCTCCTGCCCATCGGCGTGAGGGGTGGGGGGGGGGGGGGTTTGGAGTGTTCGTTGTGGCCCGGCACAAGACATGAAGCGCTGAACCTATATGTTTCGGTTCCATTGTGCAGCTATGCGCTTTGTGGAGACCTTCCGAGGTGCATTGGGAACCTATTGTTCCCTCAAACTGGAAGCAGCAGCGCTAAACCCCAAACCCGAAACCCTAAAACCGAAACCCTAAACCCACACAACACACAACAAAGCGGGAGCGGGCACCTATCGTTGGCTGCCTCCATCATCCACTGGCCGTCGGGAGTAGCATCCTTCCCCTTCGGGGTGTCCTGGGTTGGGGTGCTCTGGGGCCATGGGGAGTTCATGGTGAGGGCTATAAGAAACCTAAGCCCTAAGAGAGGTTAAGCAAAGTTACGCTGCTGAGTATGTATATCGTACTTGTAGCTACCCATGAACCTCCACACGTAGGACTTTCGGATGCTGGAAGAGATATTGCTGGAGATGCTGGTGCTCTTGATTCTGCGTACCCGCTCGTTGCTTCAGTTCCTACGCTGAAGCCCGACGCATTGATAAAAGTCTAATCATAGGGGCCGATGATACGGGGATAACCTTGATCGTTTTTCGGCTCCCACCCCCAAATCCGAAACGTTCACGCAGCACCTCCTTCTCTGGCAGCACGTCGCTGAAGGCAGTGCCTTCCCACAGGTAAACCTTAAACCTTAACCCCTAAACCCTAAACGCCAAACGCACCCTCAGGCACACGCTGTAGACAGACTGTAGGGCTCATGAGCAGTTCTAAGTAGGGTTATAAGAGCCCTACACTCTCGTCACCCTAGTGCATGTGGGTGCATGAGTTCAGGGCTGAAGCCTGATGTGCAGGTTTTGGGCTGAAAGGGTTTAGGGGCTGAGGGTTTTGGAGTCCAAAAATGACAGAAATTTAGGGTCAGGGTTTAGGGTTGAGGGAGCTGAATGGTCAGGGGAGGGGGGGGCGGGGGGGCGTGTGAGAGTTCCTGCTCTGGGGACTAGAGGGTTGGGTGGGGCCCCAAAAAGGAAGCTTCGGTGATCTGGAGAACGTAGTTTGTCTGAGATTAGTCGCTCGCACTCGGACACGCCAGGCCAAGTGCACTCTGTCCCATGCTCTTGCTGTGGATCCCATTTGGGCATGCTGGGTCTGGGGTTTCAGGTTAGGGTCTGGGATTGACCTAACATCTTGTTGGATACCCTACAAGAGAGTCGGCTTAGGTTCGCAAGTAACATTTGAAAGCAGAACAGCAATAAGCAGCTATGAGCAGAAATAGAAATATATGCAGCTGCACCCTAAACCCTGAGTGACAAGGGTTTTGCAATGTTTTGCAGCTGGCATCCCACTGCCTGGCAGCAGTATCTCCTCCTGCGTCGGGATAATCTGCACCTGGCGCGAGTCAGTTTCTGGAGAGACACGAAACAGAACGCTCCACCCCAATGAATGAGCTGTCAGATGAGAGACGAACAAAAGCTGGTTAGAGAGGGAACGCTCGATGGTCTTGGTGTACTGAGGTCGGGAGCACAAGGTGATCTGAGCAACAGCTTTGATGGAGACTACACAAATCAGAGTGCCCCTCTCGGTGAGAGCTTCGGATGATGAGGCTTGCAGTGAAAGCCAGAGGCAATCACATGAAGAGTGTGGGAAAACCCAAGCACTTGCGCCCTCTTGTGGCCCAAAGTCTGCACACGCACGTGTGCGCGCAAGTGCACACACACACACACACACACACCCGTTCTTCTGTGACGTAATTAGTGGTGGCTAGCGGTTCATGACTTACAAAACAACCCGATGACTTCCAGCAAGGTCAGCTACGATCTTCCAGGCGGTAGAGCTTGAGGCATGCGCACGATCCCCGTGCAGGGCAAGCGAGATGCCTCCTTGGTAGCGGAGCGGCCGCCCTGCCTCGCAAAATGCGCAACTGCCCTCCTCGTATGCTTCCTCTGCTCCCCATGGACCCCCTGAACCCTATACACCCTTATCAAGAACCCTATAACCCCTCTACCTCGGGGACGAAATGAACCCTTAAAAGGGTTTATGGTTCATATACCTTAATAGGACTTATAGTAGTATAGGATCTATGACCCCCAATTTTCGGGTTCATGTGGTCCCCAAGGTATAAATCCAGCCTAAACCACTCCGACACACCCGACGTGCCAGGACGCCTCAGCTCCTCTTCGAGATCATAGACACGCTGCGCCAGGGAAGCGACTTCCATCTTCATCTCCTCGCGCATACCTCGGGGTTGAGGGTTGAGGGTTTAGGGTTTAGAGTTTAGGGTTTAGGGTGGGGAATTAGGGAATCGGGCACCTTTTATACACCCCTTGTTGCCCTCTAAGGAAAGGGTTCTACCTTGACACCATACTCATGAGTGAACCGTGTGCTGCAGTACCTAGTTGCCGAGTACCCTGCCGAAAGACAAGGCTAACCTACTTTCAATTACTATACTAGGCTTATGTATACCCCAAAAGGTCACAGATTGCTTACCCAGCTGCTGTGAACCAGGGTTTTACAGAGTTTTTTGAGGTTTGGGGGGGTTGAAGGCTTTTAGGGTTCAAAAGGGTTTTATGGGGTGTTAGCAGGCTTTACAGGGTTTTAACGGGCTTTCCTTGCTTTCCTGAAGAACCACAAGCCCGACAGCCTCAATGATGCGCGAGCCCGAACACCAAAAATCAAGCAATGCCCCTAAACCCTAAACCCTAAACCCTAAACCCTATATAAACCCTAAATCCTGCACAATAAACCTCAGGTTACCCCGTTGTAGAGTTTAGGGATGTTCGGATTTAGGCTCAGGGCTTAAGGTTTCAGGCAGCCCTCTAAACCGCTCTGACCATACACCTTTCAAGGCCTAAACCCTCAACCCTAAATCCCAAACCCTAAACCCTAAACCCTAAACCCGTTGACTCGTTCACTTTCGAGGGTCGCCGCTCGAGTGCGGCCAGGCTCTTCTCGAACTTGGCCGCCGACATTGCACCCAGGGTTTAGGGTTTAGGGTTTAGGGTTTAGGCTGTAAACCCTTACCCCTAAACCCTAACCTCTAACCCTACACCCTAACGCGAAGCTTTCGAAGGGGCTTTCAAAGGGGGTGTCGAAGGGGGTGTCGGGTTCATAGGGTTTAGAGCTTCAGAAACTCAGAAAACTTCGGCTCATGGTGGCTGTGTCACGCTTGGGGTTTGTTGGGATTTGGTTGAAAGGGGGCGCCTGCGAATAGTGCTTCTTGGGCTTCTGGGCTTCAGGGTCGCAAGGGCACTCTGGCTAGGGCCTCACAGCAGCAGCGTTCCGACGGACACTGCTATACATTTCGGAAACCAGCACAACCCATGACCATTCCATCCATCACAACACAACACATCTCATGCAGTCCGCCAGTACCTCTCGTACCTCTCACGAGGAGGGTTTAGGCTTCAGACGCTAAAGCCATAACCCTAGAAAAGCCCTAAACCCGCAAACTAGGGATGAGGAGAGGGCCCAGGTTCACTGTGTGTTGAGCGCATGGCTTTTTAAGTGAACGCGACTTAGGGTTTTATGTTTATAAGGTTTTTTTGTCACCCACACAGCACTCGCACGCACTGCTGGGACCAACGCAGCACTCTTTTTCAGTCCCTAACGACTGACGTTTCATCGTGCGTTCGCTGCTATCGGCAATTCAATCCAAAGATTAGATTGCGATGTTGCCTCTGTAGTAAAGTCTAACCGAGAGGGCTTAAGATCGACGAGCTTTTCTCGAAAGCTCAAAAAGCTCTGTTGTTGGTTAGCCGAATGCCTATCGTTGTGAAGTTTCTTCCTCGTGGGTGTAGTTGCATCCTAGGCTCCTTTTTGAGGTGATAGTTGGTAAGGGTTGAGGTTGGAACTTGTCCAGTTACAGCACCATGAACATGTGGCCCTCCGAAGTAGTTTGTGTGGACGCTGCGTCCGGTTGTAAGGTGAGGATACTGCAATGCTTGGCCAGCTTGCAGAAATTTAGGGTACTTTCCATTTACTCAACATATGGCGATATTTTTGGTATATGATTTATCTGATGTAAATGAAGCTATATTTGAACAAATAAATTGATTTTGCTGATTAGAATGTTTGTAGCATGTTTTGCTCAATATTGGTCAAAGGTTTTCAATGAGTATGCACAAAAAGATTTCATCCGCCATTGCCAGCTGTTTGTGGCTGGACGAGGCGGTGCAACATCAGCGGATGTGTCTTCCCTGACTGCCGCTTTGCAAGCTCATGGCCCATCAGCCCTTCTTCTTGCTGTCTGTTTCTGTTCGCGCCACGAGGTTGTATATGTGCTCATTGCGTCTGGCTCAGCAACGCCAAGTATGGCCGAGCTTGGCGCAGCCGGGGCTGGGAGATCAAAATGGCCAGGTCCCAGCCGTCTCGGATGAATGGGCCGGTTCCGGTCCTGCTGGGCCCACCACCAGTCGCCCTGGTCACCACCGGAGCAGCTCCCACCACAAATGCCCTGCAAGCCCGCCGCAGTCAAGGCATTGCATGGCGGGGGAAGCAATGAATGCGCGTGAAGCCCCAAAGCAGACGGCAGCTTGAGCCATCATGGCTACGGGACTAGGGTTTAGTCAGGTACTCTGTGGCGTTCTACCTCGCCCAAGTTGGTGCAACGCGCAAAAAGACCACCCCAAATTGATGACAGTTGTCAGGTTACCTTAAGAACCCCAAACCATAAGACTACTTATACATCTTCTCCACAAAGTCTTTAAGGGCCTTTTGAATCACAACCTACTACTTATTCATGTTCCCCACAAAGCCTAAACCTCAAGCCCGGAAACACTTGAAACATTGAGTTTCCCCCCGCCAACTTCACACTTGCTGTTGGTCGTTAGGACCAGGGGGTTGACAGAGCGGCATGCATGATTTTACAGACCCTAAACCCCTTAACCATACACCCTAAACCCTAAACCCTATTCCTTCATCCCCTGCCAACGGTAGACAGCCCAAGTCCCGAATGGTTGAAATTTTTTGGGGAATTGGAATTACGACACCCATGACCCTATAAACCCAAAGGCCCTTCTCCCGAAGTGCTATAAACCCTAAGCCCTAAACTCCTCCTTCATGGAGAAACGGGCCATTTGTTGGCCCAGATGAACCCATCAAGGCACCCATGGACCCTAAACCCTAAACCCTAAACCCTAATCAGACCTGGCAGTATCTAGCAAGCTTTTGGTGTCCGTGGCTTGGCTATTAAGATCAAGCGCAATCGTCGGTGGTTCGGTTCCCCTTTTGGGGTCCGCTTCGGGTTCGCAGGGCTTATACATATAGGTTTACATGGTCTACAGGGCTTGGGGTTCAAGGAGCAAAGCCCCAACATAAGTACAAAATGTATCTAACAGCCCATTGGCAGGCTTTGGGGGCCTCTGGCCGCCAGCTTCTGCTGGAACTTTGTACAGAAATCCCTAAACCCTATAGACCCTAAACCCTAATCGTAAAAAAAAACACAACACACAATAAGCGTACGGATACAGGGATGTAGGGCCGAGGTGGTGTAGGGTTTCTCCCCTACACGCTACAGGTGTTGAAGCACCTTCTGCTTCTTGGACCTCTCAGGTGCAGGCGCCGCACGACCGCCCACAGATCAAGCCTCATGCTGCAAACCCCTAAACCCTAAACCCTAAACCCTAAACCCTAAACCCTAAACCCTAAACCCTAAACCCTAAACCCAAGCAGAGGCGGGGGGGGGGGGGGGGGGGGGGGGTTTGCGACGTTAGGGGAACCCTCTTGGGGTCCTTCCTGTAAGGGGATCCTACTATTTGGGGGTCTATCACTTGTACTGTCACAGACCCCTAAAAGAAGCCTTCTGCTTTTACTGGGGTTCTAAGTAGTGTCTTTGACACCGGCCCAGCAGCCAAGGGTTCAGGGCTCAGGAGGGTTTGTTTAAGAAAAAAACAAGACTTGTAGATGGATGGATAGTTTCATTTGTTACAAGTAGGGTTATCAGTAGGGTACCAAGTAGACTAACTCTGCCTACAATCTGGCCTATCCCTCTGCCTATACAAAGGGGAGTCCAGTGTAGGGAAACCCTAAACCTTGGGATGTTCCCCCTTTTAGTAGCAGTTTTTGATGGGGATTATAGTACCTCCTGTTAGAATGCCAATGAAGGACTGTGAGTATAAGGGGTGGAACATCCCAACCCTAAACCCTAGCCCTAAACCCTAAACCCTCAACCCTAAACCCTAAACCCTAGATGATAAGAAACCCTAAAGTCCGACATCTTCAATAATGCCCAGAAGCGCACGGAGGAGCCCAGGAACTCCAGCAGGGGACACCAACCTGCAGCCTGTCTGTAGATAGATGAAGCTTGTAGGGTGCTTAGGGTTTAGGGTTGAGGGTTGAGGGTTTAGGGATTCATGGTGTTTAGGGTTTTAAGGGTGTTTAGGCTTTCAGGCACTTTGAGGACTTTCGGGTTTTAGGCTTGATCGGTGCTTCAGGGGGGGCAAGGCAACTGTCCGAAGGTCCACACTAGTGTCGTAACTGCAGGTTCCCGTCCCTTGGGGTGGTTGCGGCAGTGGCTCTCGGGGTCGAACATCAGCATCTCACATGGGAAGCATTGCGATTTCTAAACAGCAAACTTCAGAGCCTCCGAAAGCAAGTTGTTTTCGGACAACCAGATGTTTTGCCGTACCAGCGGCCAACGCTTTGGGGGTCTCAGATACTAGTACAGCCATGAAACACAAAAATATGAGAATACACAAAATCTTCGAAACGAATAACATACAAAAAAAACAAAAAGACAACAATATAAGCAGCTAAACGACCAGAGGGCCATTGCGATGGTTGAGTCCCAAGACCCTCATGTGTCATGCTGCATCTACTTCCTAAGTCGCGCACATGCCATTGGGTGTCAGTCTCTGGAAACGTAGCCGTGGTGTCTTCCTTCCAATGGGGGTGTGAGGTTTACGGTTTATGGTTGTGTTTTTGTTTTTTTATGGTTCAGGGTTTAGGGACCGGAAACCCTAAACCCTAACTCTAAACTCCCTAAACTCTAGACTCTAAACCCTAAACACTAAACCCTAAACCCTAAACGCTAAACTCTAACTAAACTCGCCTTGATGTCTGCGCAGCTTCCGAGGCCGTAGAAGGGGGGCAAAGGGCCATCCTCGGCACAGCGTTCTCCTTTTTTGTGAGGATCTTCGGGGCCATGAGCTGAGGACGGTGGAGAGGTGCGTCCATGTTGTGTACCACTCACTGCGCGGGAGCGACGTTGTGCGATTGTGGGAGGGGGATGTGAAGAATGACCCCGAGTGCATGCATGAGTTGGTTCATGCGTGCTGAACCCTAAACCCTAAACCCTTCAAAGCCGACAATGGTCATGTACCAGGAGACCCCAAAACCCCAAACCCTCTAGACTCAAGCAGCCGCGAACACCACCCAAAGTGCCAAGGCCTAGGCAAGAATAAGCCCGGAGCCCTATAAACGCTAAACCCTACATGTATCCTAAACCCTTTTACAACCAGTTCTGCACAACCCTAAACCCTAAACCCTAAATGTACCCTAAACCCTGAAGCCCAAAACCCGAACCCACTCGTTCCATTCCATGGATCCGGGCAAACCGAGCTCACGCTCGCGTTGCCACTGCAGAGTCCGCAAGTGCCAGCACAGAGCTCGACTGCATGGTCCTGATGATGAGGGTTTGGGGTTTAGGGTTGGGGCTTAGGGCTTAGGGCTTAGGGCTTAGGGCTTAGGGTTTAAGGATGTTTAGGGTTTAGGATGCTTAGAATGTGGGTGTGTAGGGTTTAGGATGTTTAGGGTTCTGGATGTTTGGGGTTTAGGATGTTTAGGTTGGTTTAGGGTACATGCTTCAGAGTTTGGGATTCCGGGCTTCAGGCCTTTAGTTGTGTATGCCACATACATGCTGTTCTTTTCATGCAAGTCTAGGGTTACCAACAGCCCAGCACTTAGAATTTCAAGAACACGCAACTCGGGTACCGTTCGGGCTTTGGTGCGTTGGGGCCCTGCAGGCCGTGCAAACGCATTCGTGCAAAGGGACCCCGCAAAACATGATTCCCACCTCGTGCGCTAGCAGGGTTTATGGTTCACAGGGTTTCGACTCTCACATTCGCACACGGCCGGCCTTGGTTCAGTGTTTAGGGTTTCGGGTTTAGGGTAAGTCGGTCCGGGTGTAGCTCAAATTTCGGACTTAGGTTGCTGCAGAGCCCTTCTGCGCATGCATTTAGGGAGATGGCACTTCTGACACCGAATCTTAGGAAACCGCTGAGGAATCAGCGTGGGGATGTCGGATGAATGGTTGAGAATATCGGCCGAGAAATGCGCGTCGACCGCCAAGATTCCATACTTGTGCCTCCGATTGTTCGATGCCAATGGTATAGTTCCTGTCTTAGTAGGGCATGCGCACACACATGCATGTATACATGCATGCGTACGCACGCTCACATGTACATACATACTCTTGTGCCAAGAACATCCTGAATGCCTGCATAGCGTGTCCACACGTACATAGACACGTGCACGTACAAGAGCATCGGGTTCGTTTGAGGTTCGCAGAACCCCAAATTGCCTCATGAGCCCGGAGCCCAGCAACAGGTATTGGTCGAGCGAGCTCTTTAGGACTCAGGGTAGCTTAAGCATGTCCAACCGCGAGTGCGTAGAGAACACGTCGTGCAGCAGATTATTGTATTTCGCCGGCGTCAAGTCGTCGAGCGCTTCGGATGCTTAGGAAGCTTCGCTTGAACCCCAATTCTTGCACTCTTCCTTCCTAGGACCCCCTGTCCCGTAAATCCTGCTTGAATGTCTATGAAAGAAAGAGAGCAATACATAGCTCTCCTACATCGAACCCTACATATAAGTACCCACGAAGAACCCAAGCAACCACTGCTCCAAGGCACTGGAATGCCACAGATGCCAAAGGCCTTGGCCTGAAGACAGCTGTCGATGCCAGAGCCCGAGGGGAAGTTCGCGGTGTCCCCACACGCCTGAAAAGCTGGGAGTGGGATGCTTCTCCTAAAAAAACAGAGTCCTCAAATTGTTATTGTAGTACCCCCCCTATTATAGTCCCTATTACTGACGGACTGCTGGTATAAGGGGGAACCTCCCAAGCTGGGAGCTTTCACATGGCGTTGGGGAAAATAGTGAAATAAAATAAAACAAAGGCGAGCAATCCCTATTGTACCCTGACAAGGAAGCACAGTGTGAGCTAAACCCTAAGCTCCAAAAACAAACAGAAAAAGACACGGAAGGAGATGCTCTTTTTTGGTGGGTTCTTAAACAAACAGGCTTAGTAGTTCATATGCCCCCCCAAAAGTGTACACTTTCAGTTCTATAGGGGATTCTAGTATCCCAAAAAGTGCAAGTTCACTCAGCTACTAAGTAGCACAAATGGAGGTTCTTGCGGCCTCAGTCCTCCACACCTATAGGACCTATAGCCTCCCCCAAGCCCTGGAACCGAGCAGGTTTGAGCCCTGAATCCCAAGCACCTCCCCTGTTTCAAGACTTAGGGTTTAGGGTTTAGGGTTTAGGGTTTTAGGGTTTAGAGGTTTTGGTGAATTTGGGGCTACCCTACACCCAAAAAGACCCTAAACCTGACACAGGAAAACAAACCGAAGCCCCAAAAGCTCTGTTGGGCGCGTTACCACGTATTGTAGTTATCTATGGTGGGGCTTGTCTACTACTTGGGGGGGGGGTTCAAGCTTGTGTTTTCGGGATTTCAGCCCTAAACCCTAAACCCTAAACCCTAAACCCTAAACCCTAAACCCCAAACCCCAAGCCCCAGCCGGCGGTGGGTCCTTGCAGCTCTGTGGGCAGTGTGCAGGTGGATTATCCACCCGACAGCCACAGGAAACAGGGCAGATGTGGGCCAAGGGGGCAACATACCTTGGATGCAAGGTCAGAAGGAGGTTTAGGGTTTAGGGTTTAGGGTTAGGGTTTAGGGTTTGGGGTTTAGGGTGTAGGGTTTTAGGGTCTCGTTGCATATCTTCCAAGGTGTTCCTATCAGGTAAAAGCAGCGCTGGTTGGAGAAAGATCCCGGTGCTGGCCCCTTTTAGTGCACGACATGTCGCTGGAGCTTAACGACTTCCATCCTTCCCTTCCTGCTCTTGGTGGCCCTTAACCCTTAACCCTTAACCCTTAACCCGAAACCCTAAACCCCAAACCCTACAACAAGGGTACCCGTTGTGGCGGCGGGTACTTTAACAAGAGAGTGGCAAGACCCGAAAAGGGCAAAAGAGTACCACCGGGCCACCAAGTGCTCCTGTATGAGTGCGCTTTCTTGCACAGGCTCGGGGCGCCTGCTATAGGGGCCTTTATACTTAGAATAGGGTTTGGGGGGTTTAGGGTTTAGGGTTTATAGGGTTTAGGGATTAGGGCTTAGGGTTTAGGGATTCGGATAGGGTTTGGTGGATTATTGTAGTAAAAATGTACATGGACCATAATTGAATGCTATTCGTAACTATTCCGACCCCTATATACTCCAGCATGCTTTGGTTCTAGCAGGGCCCGGGAACATTGGAAAGCCACTTCTCATGAACATCGATTCCAGAAGTGGTCATCGGATAACCATCAGCTCCATACTTGAGGGTTAGCGCAACCACACGCTAGTTCCCAGTTCCAAAAGGTCTACATCCCTGGGGGGTTCCAACAGCAAGTGCAAGGTCTGCAAACAATGCCATGGGCGCTGGTTCCCTGTGCACCACGTGGTCCTGGCCGTTTAGGGTTTAGGGCTATTCCGCTGAGAAGGATTGCATGAGCCGTTGGGTTTAGGGTTTAGGGTTTAGGGTTTAGGGTTTGGGTATGCCAACTTCCAAACGTCGGTTTGCCAGGCAAGCGACACTTTCGAGACCCAGTCGATAGCATCGAGCAAAGCCCATGTGTGCGGCGCAAGCAAGGGAGCTACTGTTTGCTTCAGAACCCTAAAAACAGAAAACCTTATTCCCTGTATTGCCTTATAAGGAAGATTGTGTTTTTTTTTTTTTTTTTTCCGGGGGGGGGGGGGGGGGCTCTTAAGCAAACAATGGAAACCCGAAACGCAGGTACACTGGTTCTACTATGAAATCGGGATATGACTGCTGGAATACACCAGGTCACAAAAGAAAGCAGAGAGGACTCAAAACTCGTCCCAGAAATCATCACAAAGGGTGTAGAGCCTGAGTTTAGGGTTTAGGGTTTAGGGGTTAGGGGTTTAGGGTTTAGGGCAGCCCCGTCCTGGTGATGATCTCGTCGGGCGCTGAGAGCAAGCCCGGGCATCCGGTGGCCCTTTCCACAGCTGCAACTTACCCTACACCCTAAACCCTAAACCCTAAACCCTAAACCCTAAACCCTAAACCCTAAACCCTAGACCCTAAACCCTAAACCCTAAACCCTGAGGATTCTCTTGGGAGCTGGGGAGGACTACGCTACCCGAAACCCCCTTCGAAGGGTTGCGGGTTGAGGGTTACTATTTGCTTCAGAACCCCCAGAAGAAACAAAAAAACAAAAAAAAAACTCCTCCTTGCAGGGGTAAGATGGGGCTGATGATCTTTATTCTTTTGGGCTCTTCAGGAAATAGTAGCCTTCTTCACGAGTTCTTCTTTTTGGGGGCGGTTTCGGGTTGAGGGTCGGGGTGGGGGGGGGAAGGCGTGCAACATAAAGTCACTCACAGCTTGAAGCAGACGAAGGCGCTTCATGAAATCGACGAAGACCCGCAACATGCGGGCGCCGGCAGGTGCTTGTGGAGACGAAAGGTTCACGCCCAGATGTCTGGACATGATGTCTGGGTACTTGTCCCAGAAAGATTGCCTGGGAAGATGAAAAAGCCGGAGGGAAGGCTGTGGGTTTGGGGGGCCTCCTGGGTTAAGCACTCCAGTTTCTGGTTGATGAAGTTTGGGTGGCCCTGGGGGGACGATAGGCTCGGGACCCTCAAGGAAATTCCCTACCTGCCAAGGTCGCACGACAAGCGGCCATTCGTCCGTGATGGGGGCATCCTCGCACGGGATCTCCTTCAAAGGGGAAGCTTTCGCCCAACCACCTCCTCCGTGATTTTAGAAAAAGTACCTCCTTGAACCTAACATTGCTTGGGAACTTGAAGTTGCAGGGCACTTTTAAGGGGTGGGGCTAAAGAACAGCCCGGAGCAAAACACCAATGCCTCACGCAGTTTAGCCCTGAAATGGCACTTTCAATGCTTTTTTTGCAGGGTTCGGGGAATGAAGCTTGCGGTTGAGGAATCAGGAGACTTAGGGTTTAGGGAACTAAGAGAGTAAGAGGCCTAAAAGGGTTTAGGGCTTGCCACCCTAAACCCTAAACCCTAAACCCTAAACCCTAAACCCTAAACCCCGCTCATGACCAGGCCGGGCTGTCACGTCCTTGGCAAGCGCTGTGGCCTCTCCGCGGCACATGGTCGGGCATCCCTGCTCCGGAACCTGCCCCAAAGTACTTGGAGGTTCAGGGTTTAGGGTTTAGGGTTTAGGGTTTAGGGTTTAGGGTTTAGGGTTTAGGGTTTAGGGTTTAGGGTTTAGGGTTTAGGGTTTAGGGTTTAGGGTACTTATAACCGAACTATAAGTGTAGGTATAACCCACTCAGAAGCCCCTTAGGTACCCTAATCGGGTTATGGCTGAGTTCTAAGTGCAGTAAGAGTGAGTTACTAAGTACCCTGAAGCTCAAGTACAGGGGACGGGACAAAATGAACCCTAAAAGGGCTTATATGGTTGACATACCTCAATGGGAATTCTCCTAGTATAAGGCATACTGTACGAGTGAGTGAGTGAGTGCGTCAAACGTCCCTGCGGCCAAGCAAAGCCCGCCGCATGGGCGCAGAACACACAAGTTCGGACCCACCCACGGGCCAAAACTCTTGGTATTCTACGGGGACGAGGAAGGTAGTGAGACAGGTCTGTCACTGCTCATCCTTACTCGACCCGGGATCACAGATGAAAGCAAAACTACAAAAGCCCACGACTTGACGAAGACCCATACAAGCGCTCCTTGGTTTTCCTTGTTACTGGGAGATGTTGCTGCACAGCAACTGCATGCAGGTGCCTACAACCTTCTGACAGGCCAGCGTGACCCTGACATCTTGATGCTGCTTGAGAAGAAAAAACGCCAAGCTCTGTCCCTCCGTTCTTTCAGGGAGGCACACAGCCGCGGCAGCGTCATCCAAGACACACTGTGTGCCCGGACACTCGGCGAATGCGTGCAGCACAGTCGCGTAGCGAGCACCGCATAGTGAACAGCTATCCAGGCACAAAGGGAGCCCCGAATCCTGAAACAAACAAAGTGGCCACGCACCCGTAATGCCTATGATTGCCCAACATCGAAGCCACAAGGATGCTCCAGGGCTAGTCTGGGAGCGAATATTTTCAGAGACTTCTCCCAGCCCAACTGAGCGCCCGAGGTCTTCAAACGAGAAGGTAAAGCCTGGGAGCAGTTTCCCCCGAGCTTGTTCCCCTGCTGCCCTGTCATATTCCAGCAATATGGGTCTGACAATTTCCAGTCTGTAGCGCCTGAGTAAATCTTTTCGCAAAGATGAGCTCGATCTCGCTGCTTCTAACTGAACCGAGTCAAAGCCCTTGGCCTCAAACACCAGCGGGATGCGCGATGGCAAGCCTTCACATTGCAAAATCGCCAAAACGTCCTGCGTCCAAGAATGACAAGGAATACTCAAAGCCATTCGCACGAAGAGAGCACCTGGATGCCCCTCAGGCAAAACCAAAAGTCTTGCCAAAGCCACGGCTGCACCTTCGATGACATACGAGCCGAGCCGAAGAGGCCACCCGCACTGTGTGAAAACCAAGGCCCAGGGAAGGGCAAAATCATGCGACGCGCCCAAGAGAACTCGACCCCACTTCCATTGGAGTTTGTTAAGTTCGTGCTCAAAACCCTGGGTTGAAACAAGAAAAGGAGCCGCAAACAAAAACTCAGGCACCACCCTACGGTATGCTTCTTCAGCGATTACTGAGAGAGGGAAGCCAGCTGTTTCGGCCGAGTTGAAGAGCTGCACAAAAGCATCCCAACCTCTACCCAAAGCCTCCTTTAAACAAGGAGAAAAGGTCAAAGCATCGTCAACAAGGATCCCCAAGAAGCGCTTGGTGTGCACCAGTTCCATGCACTGTTCACCAGACAAAGACGACATGTCCGAGTTTCCTAAGTTCATTACGCAGCATTTGCCTGGACCATAATGGAATCTAGCCTTGGCCTTGAGAGCATATCTTGAGCACGCAGACTTGCTGTTGGCATCCATGACTGCATGTACGTGGTCCAGAGACGCAAGGTACTGTGACATCGTCCACGTGTTGGGCTGCAACAAACCCCCCTTCGCCCAGAAGTTCCAAACTTAGAAGCCGTAAGGAGGCACCTTGGAGGCTGCAGAGAGCCAAAGTAGCCTCATGTTGACGGGCTTCCGTCTGGAAACAATTCCCAGACGCAGCATCTTTGATAACTTGACTAACGTCTTCTGCCATGCTAATGTTAGAGGGCGTCCAGCTGCAGTGGCGAACTGCCGGGGCCAGTTGCTGCGCCGCATCCAGAAGATGATTCGCGTACTTCGGCAACAGTGCCCGGGTACCGCCTGGCGCCGCTTTGTTGATCTCTACTTGTAACCATTTGAGAAGGGCGTTGAAGACGCCCACTGAAAACTTGCGACCTTGAGCTGTGCCACAACCTAACTTGAAAATTGTTGACAAAAGACCATGAAGAGAGAGACACTGAGAATCTTGGTCCATAATATCGTCAAGCAAGAGCCAGTCCAGAATGTCGACATTTGCTTCAGCAACAGCAATCTTCATCCCAGGAAGAATTGCTGTGTCGAACGCCCATTTTAAATCTAGGACAGCCCAAAATGTGGGGAGGTTTTGGGACTTCCTGATCTGCGCATGAAGGACCAGGCCAAGCACAAGACTGACAGGGTCAAGGCAACCTCCAGTTTGTGAAGGACCCGCGTAATCAATCAGCTTAGCTTTGTTTCGTAGCATCCACAAACCATCCTGAACATGTGCCATGTCGCTGCAAATGGAGATTGGCCTCAAGTTCGCAATCTTGGATACCGTCAACGGTCCCTTTTTGTGAAGAGGGCTGTATTGACGCAATGACCATAATGAAGAGGTTAAACCAAGATGCCTGCTCAGATTTGCCAAAGCCAGGGTGAGGAACCTGGCCTCAGGCAAATCCACCTTTAGGGCCGCAAAACATCCTCGAATGCACTTCTTAGTGGTGTTAAGGCTAGCGATGACTGTGTTTAGTTCTGCCATTGTGTACCGCGAGGAGCCATCCGGGCTGAAAGGCTGCAGCCTGAGATGAGATAAGCGAGCGCTCATCTCCCTTTCACTCTGCGGGTCCTACGGCCCCAATCCTTTAGGGGCTTACATGGTTCACATGCCTTGTAGGAATTGTAGTAGTATAGGGCATTCCTAAGGAGGCTACAGAAACCGGACGAGAGGTTCGTCTGAATGGCAACATTGGTCGTGAAGGACACGAAAGGGTTGAGATGGAGCTGCACTGCACGCGTGTGCCCACATAGGCCTTACTAACCCTACGAAGCCCTAAACCCCTTAGACCGAGAAACCTGAAAGGCCATAAACACAACCTGATGCGCCCCAGAAAGCCCTAACCCTCCAGCCTTATAATAAGCCCGAAGGAGTCCTTCTGTGAGCAAAAAAGGCGAAAGTAGTGAAAAGTAACGCTCAACCCTAAACCCTAAACCCTAAACAACAACCCTTAAACCCTAACATGCTCTAAGCCCCCAGGGTTGCGCCTTGAATTAAACCAGGGGTTGCGCCCTCTTCAAGGTGCCCCTCTTGGGTTTAAGGGGCTTATAAACGAACCTAGACCCTAAAAGCCGGGTAACAAGGGGCCTACTCTGGGTCTTAGCCCTAAACCCCAAACCCCAAACCCCAAAAAACCTCCCCCAAGGGCCTTCCGAGAAGAAAAATCGACAGCCAGTGCGCCTTGAACCAGGTCATGGCGCTTGGCAGGTGGCAGCCACAGGTCCTTCCGCAGACGCCGCGTAGGAGGCGAGAGTCCCAGTCCTCGCCTCAGGCTAGGGGAACTAAAGGTTAACCTTTGGGATTCTAGTTTAGGGTTAAGGGTTTAGGGTTTAGGGTTTGGGTTAAGGGTTCAGGGTTTAGGGTTCAGGGTTTAGGGTTTTGGGATTCTAAGGGGATGATATTACCCCAAAAAGGGCAAAGGTTACATACTCTACTACTGCTTGTTAAAGGTTAGCCTTTGGGATTATAGTTTAGTGGGTAGGGGGTTTAGGGTCAAGGGTTAAGGGTTTAGGGTTTTGGGATTATAAGGGGATAACATTACCCCAAAAAGGGTAAAGGTTACATACTCTACAGTACTACTGAGTGTCTGGGGTTTGGGGGGTGTCATGGGGTTTGGGGGGTTGAGAGGGTTTTGGGGTTTAAAGGTTTTTCTGTTTTTAGGGTTTGGGGTTTTGCAGGTTTTGGGGTTTACAGGGTTTGGGGTTTTATAGGGTTGGGGGGTTGAAAGGGTTTGGGGTTTTTGCCGAGCTTGGGGTGGTCTGCAGCTTAGAGGGCTTCCTGTCTATAGGGCTGTTTTGGGTTTGAAGCTTTGGGGCTTCGGGTCTGGGGCTTTGGGCTGGGTTTAGGGTTTGTTGTCCTGCTCTTGGAACCCGAATGAACAGAATGCGGGAAGAGGGTTTGGGATGTTGGTCCGCGGGCTTGCTGGTACCTTAAGACCCCAAAACGTGTTGTCTGTGGTGGGCAATCATGACTAAAGACGCCTTCCCAGGATTCTCGGCGACAATGCGAGTCTAAAGGGGACCATCCACTCAAGCATGCAAGTCGCACTTGTCCGCCAGCTCTGCACAGGAGGTGGCGTTGTCTCTTCCCATCCTTGCACGCTCTGGGCTTTCTGCTTCAGGTTTGTAGGGTTCAAAGGGCTTATGGGAGTTTTCACCTCCTCACTCGGGCTAGTTTTAGGGTTTAGGGTTTAGGGTTTAGGGTCTCGTAAACCCTCAACCCTCAACCCTAAACCCAATAGTAAGACTCTGAAGGCCGAGAAACAGCACCGCCGCGGAGTGGAAGCGTGAGAGCTGCGACTTTGCGAAGACGGGGCCAAAGGCGCGCAGCCAGTTATCCGCGTCCAGCTTAGTGCACGCAGGGTTTAGGGTTTAGGGTTCTGGATTTAGGGTTTAGGGTTTCGGGTTTGGGGTTTAGGGATACTACTTGGAGGTTCAGGGTACTTATTCACCAATTATAGCTGTACTTATAACCCACGCATAAGTCCGTTAAGTACCCGAGTATGGTTATCAGTACAGTTACAAGTACAGCAGTATCGCGCAGTCGCTAAGGCCCTGAAGCCCACAATTCGAAATCCCAAACCCGAAAGTCAAAGGTTAGAGCTACTCTTGAGATACTATGTCTTTCCATAGATACATACACATATAAAGGACATTTTGGAAACCATCGAGTCAGAGTTAGTGAAGATGTCCGGTTTCTTGACAGCAAGCGATGCCAGTCCCCAGAGGGTCCATTGGTACTACTAGTATGGACTTAGGTCCCCAAAAACCATACTAAATAGGGCTTTTGGGGTACTTAATTCAATAATACTACTACCAACACTACCAACTATTCTGGAATTAGGTACCCAAAAGCCATACTGAATAGGGCTCTTGGGCACCTAATTCCAGAATAGTACTACAAATGGACCCTCTAAACCCTAAACCCTAAACCCTGTTTGACTCCAGGCTCAGCCGGATCCGAACTTACCCTCAACCCTAAACCCTAAACCCTAAATGGACCCTCTAGGATCGCAGCCCAGCAACGCAAGACGGGAGCTCCTCGGCCACGACCGCCATCGAGGCAACCGAGTCTTTTGCAAAGGATAAGGGTCCGTCCGAGAAATGAATGAGGCTGCCATGGTACCTTAAGGTGGGCATGTGACCCCTTAACCCTAAACCCTAAACCCTAAACCCTCAACCCTCAACCCTAAACCCTATTAACCCTGTTAACCCTAAACTCTCACACGCACCCATCTCCAGCGGTGGCCATGCCCTCTTGCACAGCCGACTTCGCCAGAACAAGACATGCCCAAACATTAAGGAGCGCGCCTTCTCGTCTCAGGGTTTAGGGTTTAGGGTTTAGGGTTTAGGGTTTAGGGTTTAGGGTTTAGGGTTTAGGGTTTAGGGTTTAGGGTTTAGGGTTTAGGGTTCAGGGTTTAGGGTTGAGGGTTTAGGGCTTAGGGTCCAGGGCTTAGGGTTTAGGATCCCTATACAATTTCGAGTCTACCCCCTTTGACTAGGGGGTAGAAGGGTCCGGTTACTGGAGTCCTGGCTTGTGGGTTTAGGGTTTAGGGTTTAGGGTATCGGGTTTAGGGCCTACCCAAAACCCTTAAACCCAAGTAGCATGTTCGACGTGTTCCCATCGTCGCCCACTCCGCTGGGCACGGTCTGCTGCAACACGGCTCTCTCGCTCAAGGACAAGCCATCTTCCTGAGCCACTAAGGTTTAGGGTTTAGGGTTTAGGGTTTAGGGTTTAGAGTTTAGGGTTTAGGGTTTGGGGCTTCGGGTTTAGGGTTTGGGCTCTTCGCTTCGGTGTTGGGAGGGTGTCTGCGCTTGCACTTGCATCTACAGCAGGGCTTCAACCATTCAAACAAAGCGAGGAACCCTCGCGGGGTCTAGCCTGTAGGGCATGTAGCAGAAGTAGAAAAAGCCCTGAACCGTAAAACAGGAAGATCTACATAATAAGGGACCTGTACCTCTCTAAGCTTCAAACGACAACATCCACCAGAACACCGCACTCACAAACAAATCGGCTGCCCAATAGGGCTGGGCCTTGCATCTATACCTTAAGAACCCCAAAGCCCACTTTTTGTGAGTTACCTGAGAATTCTGTGGGTGGGTGAATATATCACAACCTACATAAACGTGGGTTGCTTTAAGGTGGAAGGTATACCCCCAAAAAAAACCCTCAAGCTCCTAAACTAGAAGCCCTAAAACTGATAACCGCCGACAGGCAGAGATGCATATCGGCCTGCGAAGGAGGCTGTCATCAGGCCCACCGTCTGCTGCACATCCTGTCACCAGGGTTTGGGGTTTAGGGTTTAGGGTTGGCGGCACCCATCAGATTAAACGCAGTGTGTTGAATATTCCCCCTTAGCAAAATTTAGGCATCATTCCTAGGGGCCCTAAAACCTTGAACCCTAAACCCTAAACACTCAACCCTGTACGTTCTCGGCTCAGGCTGTCTACCGCAAGCCTCCGCCACAAACCTCCCCACAGCAGTTCGGCCTCAGGCCACAGCAGTCCCTCATATCCCAAACCCCAACTCCCAAACTCCTAAACTCCTACACTCCTAGACCCTAAACTCTTGAACTCCTAAACCCTAAACCCTAAACCCTAAACCCTAAACCCTAAACGCCACATTGCATTCCCTAGGCCTCTTTTGCCACTCGCCAAGCACTAAAGAGGCCGGGTCGTTATAGGGCGGTTTAGGGTTTAGGTTTTGCAGGTAGTTCTAAAGTACCCTAAATAGGGTTGTGACTATCTTTACCGTACCTATAGCCCTACTTCTAAGTTCACATGAACCGCGAACCTCCAACCCTAAACCCTAAACCCCTAAACTAGGGAGAGATTTCATGAGTTAAAACCATAGGGCTACAGGTCATTCCAGACCTGAGAGTCCAGAACAACAAAAAAGACTTCCGTTAAACGCCTAGTGTCTTTGGGCAACCAAAGACACTATAGCTTCACCCTAAGCCCCAAAGCCTCCGAAGCCACAACGGAGGCGACCGCCTAGATTCCTACTTTGCGTTTCCCACTGGCCTGGTTGTAGGTGACGACGAAATCCTGGTTGCCATAGCAGAACTCGACCTTAACCTGGTTGCGGGCTGAGACATTGATGGTTTAGGTCAGGGTTCAGGGTGTAGGGGGGGCAGGTGGGGGGGTTGCACTTGGCAGGCGAATGTTCATCGAACGCGTCTGCTTGCACATGTGAAACCAGGGTCGGCATCACTCTCTCACGAAGGAATAACCAATGGCAAGTGAAACCTTGCAGTCAACCTCACTGCCTCAATGCGAAACAACAGCACTTCTAGATTCTAGACCGAAACGCCCGCACAATTTCTTGAGTCATTCCCAATGGAAAAGTCGACTGCATAGCAAGACATCTCCGACCCGCGCATTGTCCCAATGGGGGTTGAAGCAGCTGCACGCCCTGCCTCTCTCAGCTCAAAGATCGCAACACTGATGCGACCACATGGAGCACGTGGCTCCAAGCATTGCAATCGAGCACAGCAGGAGCACGGCGCAGCAGGCTTGAACATACACCCACGGGAGCCGCGAGACCAGCTGAGAGCTGAGGTGTGTCTCCTTGGTAGCCCAGTAACCATCTTACAAATAAGGGCACCCTTTTTTTGGGTTGGTTACTTGATAAGGGTAGAACCAAAAAAAAAGGGAAAAGGGCACCACTGGGCTAGCAAGTCTCTTGGGGCTTGTGGAAGGAGCCGAAGCCCAGGGAGACGGTGTTCATGAACGCGTTGGGGAACTTCTTCTGAGACTCCGGGACCTCCTTGATGGGACCATTCCACCACACGCCGTCGGAGGGGCTGATGCCCTGGTTGCAAACCTCCAACCCCTGGACCCGGTGGCACATGGGGCTCTCACCGGACCCCAACACTGTTGCAGCCAAGCTCAGCACATCCTGGGCTGTGGCTGCCTGTGGCTCGCTCACGAGATACCACCTCACCACCGGCGTGCAGGGCGGCTTCGTGAAGCTCCCTTCATAGGCCAAGGCCGTGAGAGGCAAATCCCGAACCTAGTTCATGGTTGGGATAATACTAAACATGTAAACCTTTATTCCTTATAAAAACAGGGTTTTAAGTACCCTTAAAAATTTGAAATGGTACCCAGCTATGACAAAGGAACGGCGTCCTTGCCGAAGGAGTGGAACTCCTCGAAGTGAAAGACCTCGGGAGTTTCCTGCTGGCCTTCCGGGCCGCTCTGCAGCTGTCGCTCGGGAGTGCCCTCAAACTCGTCCTTCTGACCCTGCATTTCGTCGAGGCGGTGTTGGAGTTGTTGCACTTCAGCCTGCAGTGCCGCCTGGTCTTCCGTTTCTGGCTTCGGGCGCTCCTGCTTGCGCTTGATGGTCCCTGCCAGCCAGCGTAGGAAGTGGCCCGAAGCGGCCAGCACAGCATCCTGGGGTGCGGTGTAGAGAAGCGAAAGTGCGACCATGCGAGCGGACTGCGGTCGCTGCAACCTTTCGTTCAACACCTCAACTTCTTCATCGATTCGGGCAATCTGATGCCGCAACTGGCCGGCATGTTCCATCAAGGACTCGCCATCGTGGATGCTGTCGCTGCGCACGGCTTCGGCCCAGTCCCTCTCCGTTTGCAAGTTCGGAAAGGACACATTCCTGGCAGAAGGATCCTCGAGCCTCTTGAGCTGAAACTGCCAGTCCTGTATGAGACCATGAAACCTTGGTAACCCAGTAGCCATCTTATAACAAGGGCCCCCTTTTCTGGTTGCTCGATTTATATCGGGAACCTCGAACCCCAAAAAAAAAAGGAAAAAGGGCACCACTGGGCTACCAAAGAAGCCTGTGCAACATCTGCTGCACCCTGGCACGCTCCGTGATGAGTCTGCTGATATCCCGATGCACTGCTGACTCATGCCATAGCTGCACCTCCAAAGGCAAGTGCCGATGGAGCAAGGTGTGCTCACTCGGCATGGAGATGCGAATCCGGCGGAGGACGTACTCGTCCATGTCCGAAAAGCCTTGGCGGAAATCTGAGCCCCTCCGAAAAGTTGTACTTTTGGGCCCCTTGAATTGCCAAAAAGGGTTGAAGTCCGAATAGTTACACTTTTCGGCTGCATTTTGTACTTTCTACCAAAAACCCAAAAAAAGGGCTTAAGTCCTAAAAGTTACACTTGTCGGCTGCATTTTGTACTTTCTACCAAAAACCCAAAAAAAGGATTTAAGTCCTGATAGTTATACTTTTCGGCTGCATTTTTGTAGTTTCTACCAAAAACCCAAAAAGGGTTTAAGCCCTTCTACCAAAAAACCCAAAAAAGGGCTTAAGCCCCCCAAAAAAGGCCAGCCAGAAGAATTTGTAGTTTCTACCAAAAACCCATGCCAAAAAGGGTTTAAGCCCCAAAAAAGGCCAGCCAGAAGAAAGCCACGGAGCTCTCCCCAGCCTGCAAGGAGCCGCCACCCTCGGGGCCGTCGAAGACCAAGCTCAAGTAGCCCGAGGCCTCTTTCTCCTTGCTGCTGCTAGCGTAGGGAATGGGGGTAGGGCTTAGGGTTTAGGGTTTAGGGTTTGGGGTTTAGGGTTTAGGATTTGGGGTTTAGGGTTTGGGGTTTGGGGTTTAGGGACCCTAAACTTACTGTTGGTTAGGGGGAATGAGGTACTCTATATAATCCTTGCAAGGGTGACATATAGGGCCCCTAATTCCCAAATTCCCTGCTAACCACCAGTAAGCTTCTTCAAGGTCCGAAGCCATCTCAATGGACAGGTTGCTGGCATTCCATGCATTGTATCGCATGAGCACCGAGCCACTTTCGGGATCTGCATTTGGCGGCATGATGTTTGTTGGAGAGGCTCGTGGACCTGTGAGCGGGCATGTCCCAGAAACAGCGGGCAGCCACCATGCCAGCAGCCACACGCTCAGCCACCAGGATGTCTGCGCCCAAATCATGGCATCAGAAGGCTTTGTGCTGTCTAGGGTGAAGAATCGCAATCCAACGCCCAAGTCTTGGACACTTGGCCAAGCAAGGCATGCTCAGTTGTTTGAATTCTGCTTCCCACATTCTGTCGAGCCCCTCATCTCTCTACCCTGGCAACCTGAAGCCACGAGGCTGAGATACGAGAGGCTTGCAGAGCATGTGCCCAAGAGAGCTTGGCTGCCCCCCCAAAAAACGCAGCCTGTACCGATAACCGGGTCAGCTTGTGCATGCCTAAACCCCAAACCCTAAAAACCCTAAAAACCCTAAAAACCCTAAAAACCCTAAAAACCCTAAAAACCCTAAAAACCCTAAAAACCCTAAAAACCCTAAAACCCTAAAAACCCTAAAAACCCTAAAAACCCTAAAAACCCTAAAAACCCTAAACTGTTCCAGTGAGCACGGCAATAGGGCCACCAAAGGTGGCCCTCTGGGGAGTTTTGAGGGATTCCCCCAAGCCAGGCCTGCTCCATCATCTCGGTGAGGGGCAGCACCCACACAAAGAGGGGCAGCAAACACCTGAGTCGAATTTCGTTTAGTGTTCAGGGTTAGGGTTTGGGGTTTGGGGCTTAGGGTTTAGTGTTCAAGGTTAGGGTTTAGGGTTTGGGGCTTAGGGTTTAGGGTTGTGCCATGGGGTACCCTTTTGTTTTGTGAGTGTGGGTATACAAGGGGTGGCTCCCCTGTTTTGTGAAGAGCCCATATACCCCTGCAAGAAGGGATGGGCCAATGCTGGGTGGAGAACCAGGGTTTCTCTTGGGTCGGCCCGGATTACCTCGCTCCCCCCCCACCCTAAAGCCTAAACACCTAAACCACCTTACAACCCTAAACCCGAACTCAACCTTAAAAGCCCTCACGCCCGAGACCTCGTACAGCTTGAACAAAAGGACCTAAGCCATCGACCCCAAACCCTGTGACACCGCAAGCTTCATCCTAAATGCCCCTGAAACCTTGCAAGCACTGAACCCTGATCCCCTTTTTTGTGCAACGGGCACACCAAGCCCGCCCGGCTTAAACCCTAAACCTGACAGTGGAAGCCTCCAAACTTGTAAACTCTACGTTGCGACCTGATTCGTTACCTCGAAACTGGCCATGCCAAGGAGGTCTGCAGCAAAAAACAACCTACAGAAGTTGGTAGGTTGCAGATTTCTTAAATCAACCTACAGAAATTAGAAGGTTACAGATTTTCTTGAGGCACCAGTGCTACAAGTGAAAAACTCGCTGGGTTTAGGGTTTCTTTTTGGCCACCCAGGGTTCAGGGTTTAGGGCGAGGGTTTGCAGGGAGTGGCATCGCGACCACCCCGATGAAGACCACGGCGGCTTCAAGTTGGCTCTTCACTCGGGTGTATCGCACCTGCAGCTCAAGGTCGAAGGGCTTAGGGTTTAGGGGAGAGTAGGCTTAGGGTTTAGGGTTTAGGAAGGTCTGAGGGTTTCCCCCTCCCGCCCAAAAGTATGCAAGACAGTACGCAAGAATACCCATAAAAAAAGGGGCCATTCACTTACCCATACTTAGGGGGGGGGGTTACCCTAAACCCTAAACCATCAACCCTAAGAGGTTGAGAGTACACTTACCGTGTTTCGAGCAGTCGGCCATGGAGGCTACATGGCCAGCGGCCTCCCTAAACCCATAACTTGGCTGCGCTTAGGAGGGTAGCTAAAAGTTAAATTATTAGCTGCCTTCTTAAGAAGCCCAAGAAGCCCAAAAAGGCGAAGGATCTAAAGTCACAGTAAAGAACCACAAAGATAAACCCCCACACCACCGCATGGTGCTGGCACGCTTGTCCCTGGCTTGTTCTGGCCTTGATGGCCTCTAAGTCGTAGACGGCCGCCTCGAGTCGTTGGGTTGGGCGCTCGGTTTAGGGTTTAGGGTTTAGGGTTTAGGGTTTAGGGTTTAGGGTTTAGGGTTTAGGGTGCAGCCAGGCCTTTGTGGTCCAGGGGTCGGCCCAAACCCCAAACCCTAAACCCGAAAGCCTAAACCCTTGATGCCAACTGCCGACTTGCATCTATGGACAGCAGGCCTCAGGGATGTCGACCTGGTGACCCAAAAACACCCCCTGACCGGCTGAAACCGCTCCAGCCACAATTGTGGAGATTTCGGAAGTCTTCAACTCAAACGTGCAAGTTTAAGTGAGCAACCCTGTCCTTCATGAAAGGAGGAACAACCATGTTCTCCAAGCCCCAAAACTATACGCTTAAAGTACCCCAAAAACTAAACACTACTTCCAAGTCACCCTAAGCAAAGCCCCCTTGGTGGGCCTGGATCTTCTTCGGCAGCATCGAGGAAAAAACCACCTCGTCTATCTCCAGGATAGTTCCCAGAGCAGCGGCATTCAAGATGAGGTCGGTGATGTTCCTTGGGCCAACTTGTGTAAGACCCCCTTCTGTCTCGAAAGTCCTGCGAAGGCCCTTTGCTGATAACTGCTTGTAGGTTCATGGGTAGATGTCAGTAGTAGGGCTAATGAGGTTGCAACTATGGCTACTCTACTTTTAACCCGACATATAAGTACAAATGATGCTCCAGCCATTGTAACCATATATAACCTCTGATTGCCATTATATTATCATTACGTGGAAGATGCTCACTGCTTGTCGTGGAGCGGGGAGCCCCTAAGGCCCTAGGGGATAGGATTCGGGGGACCCTTGGGGATAAAGACCCTCTGAATAAGGTCCCTGTTTAAGAGAGACAGAAGAGGGCTAAGAAGGGGTTCCCTGTTAAGGGTCCCCTTATCCTACCCCCCCCCCCCCCGGAGTTGACATGAGTTTAACACAACAGACGCTTCCGTTCTCCACTGGCCACGGAGCTCGCTTCGCCTGAAGCATGGACTGACGGCGGATAACCCTAAACCCTAAACCCTAAACCTTAAGCCGAAACCCTAAACCCTAAACCCTAAACCCTAACCCTAAACCCTAGAGAGCCCTGAGCTGCTGCCGAAAGGCGTAGTTTTCGCAAGCCACTGCTGACCAGCATAGAGGAGCAAGCCAGCCACCCCAACGCGATACTGGGTGAGAGAGCGGTTAGGACTTAGGGGTTGCGGGTTTAGGTAGGGTTTTGGGTGTAGGTACGTAGGGTTTAGGGTTTAGGGTTTAGGGGATTAGGGTTTAGGGCTAGTCTAGGGTTTATGATGTGGAGCAAGTTGAGGGGCTTCGGTATAAAGGGTTTAGGGCTTTTAGCTGCCGCCAGGGGTTCCGGGGTTAGCCTTTTTGAATCCAGAACCCTGCAGGGTACGTGATCTCCCAGTTCACGGGTTCCGTCGAAATAGTCTGCCAGGGATCCACGTAGTCACTTGGGATCTTGGTCAGCTATTGCAAGAAATGGTGCCGTTTGGGGGTTCCTTTCAACATACGAGGCCTTGAACCCCAAAAGGATGGTAATCTAGATAGCTGCCCATCTGGCGATGCATGAGTCATGGCATGCCCCATGATGTCCAGTCTCCTGGATGGCACTATGTACTGCTTAGTCGCTCACCTCTCGGACAAGCCAAGGAAATATTCCATGCATGGCGCTGCAGGATGATTCAGGGAGACAGTGAAGCTTGCCTAGTAGTTTGCTGCTTTGCATGCTCGAAGTTTCCCTTTCGACCTACTTTGCCCATAGAAAGGAGCACTTGACCGTGGAGGCTCGCGCACCCACATGCTTGAGTTTCCTCCTGAAGTGTTTAGAATCAGCGCGGCTACCGTACGGTTGGAGGGTCCTTCTCCCCATACCCCCCAATTAGGCATGCTCAAGGGACTCCCAGCTCCAATCATCCTTAGGCCAGGTTCCAACTTTCTGGAGTTTACTGTAAACAAAACCCTAAACCCTAAACCCTAAACCCTAAACCCTAAACCCTAAACCCTAAACCCTAAACCCTAGCCGAACCTCTCGACAGGAGCTGGGGTCCAGGCTAAGCGCAGCGTCAAGAACACCTTGGCTTTTCCATGACCCTCGACTCCTGCTGATCGGGCCCTCTCTTCTGCAGGGTGGGGCCCCCTAGTTTTAAGTAGAGTTATAAGGGCCCTAAATTGGGTTATAAGGACCCTAAGTTAGGTTATAAGTCCCTGAACTACAGTTAGTATAGTAAGGGGGCCCCACCCTGTAGACTGCCTAAACCCGGTAAACTTCTGGTCCGTGCACCCCTCGTCTTGAGATGATGCCTTGAAGAACGACATGACGATGACAAGAAAAACCGAGGCACCACCAGTCGGGCGTAGGAGACGGCGATGAAGCCTCCAACTCTGCAATTTGCGGGCAGGCTGGCAAGCCCTAATTTGAGGGTCATGAAATGAAAGACACTAAACTGCGGCCGATAGGCCCGGTCTATAGATTGACCTGAGGTTGTGGAGGTTGTAGGGTTCGTGCAACTGTCCCTTGTGGTCAGAAAACCTGCCTCAACCAAATGCTACTCCGACCTCGCTCTGTTCACAAAGGTTTACGGGCCAAACACCTGAATATAACTACTGAGATCAGGTAGACGACCCAATCTTCCTGTTCGTTTGGTCCCAAGGACTCGGCAACACTAAACAAAACCCTAAACTTCCCTATTGGAAGGGTCCCTAAACCCTAAACCCTAAACCCTAAACCCTAAACCCTCTCAACCCTATAAACCCTTACTGGGTCACCCGGCGCCCGTTGTTGAAGACCGTTCTCCGTGCCCGCGGCATCTGCAGGGATGCCTCTACGGAGATCCTTTGGCTGCTTCGTTGCTTCAACGCTGCGCGCATCTTGGGTTTAGGGTTTAGGGTTTAGGGTTTTTGGGGTTTAGGGTTTGGGGTTTAGGGGGCACCTTGAGACCCTCTAGCCTCTACTACGTTTAGGGCTTTGGGCTTAGGGTTTAGGGTACGATCTTTCGTCTATGAATATAAGGTCTTCGGACCTCAAGCCCTTTCAGGGCTCAGTTTGCCACCCTGTAGAATGAGGCTCCACACCCTGCATGCCATCAAGCATCCAGATGGCGCGGAACTCTTTGCTCAAGTACATGCACCAAAGCCTTGGTGTCGTCACTCTTAGGGTAGTTGCAGGGTCCCTTAGTTAGTATGGGCCCTTAAACGGGTACCCCTTATACACCCCTTGTATAACCTGGACAAATTAAGGGGCCATACGTCCGAACCCTTTAAAGGAGGTTAGGGACCATGTTCAGGGAACATGAAATTGCCCTCAGGCCCCGGGCCTGTTTTTGAAGATACCATATGATACTTCATGGGCTTGCTTCTTACATGTTGCCAGAGACTTCGGCAGAAAGTCTCCACTCCTGAAACTCCAAGCCGCAGGATGCAAAGCCCGCTGAGGATAATCCCAGGTGGCAGGCCTGCCCTGGAGAAGCTCTCGCTGCCATTGCCTGAGTGGTTCATGGGTTCATCCAGGTGCCGGCTTGGCAAGACCAGCCTTTTTTTTGGGGGGGAGAGTGGGGGGGGGGGAGTGGGGGGGGGGCTGGGGTTTAGGCCATCTGCCTAGCAGCCTCGCGTTTAGGTGTTTCGGGTTCAGGGTTTAGGCTTGGAGGGGGTGCAAGGGGGTGTCGTTTTCACCGCCAAGCCTGCAAGTGTGCGTAGGGGCGGTATCGAGAAGTGCCCTCACCCTTCGGAAGTTACTCTTTCAAGTTAGTTGGTCCTTGGCCTTTGCCTAAGGAAGCCTGGCTGCTCCCTAGAAAACCTAAAGCAGACTCTAGCCCAGAAATATGGTACACTACTGTGGCCCAAATAAGGGCCTGCTATCATTTTAAATTAACGGCTTCTGCTGTTTGATTGCCAGTTTGTTCTCCATGGCTCCAAAGCACGGGCAAAGGGAATCAGGGGTCGTAAGGGGCGTGTTGTACTGTTGAACCAACAGATACTCCATCATCGCCAATGAGAATGCGCAGTGGTTGGCTGCACGCATTTACACAGACCTAGGACCTAGCATGGGGCGAAGCTTCAACGTGTCATTCGCCGTAAGGCCATAAGGGCGAACGAACAGCCTTTGATACAAAGCCTCGATCCTGTACTCCAGAGGTGAACTTGAAAACATGCCACTGACGCACGCTCTGCTTTGGGCTTCTCTGGCTACACATACTCAACAGTTAAAGCCTCTGAGTCCCATCCAATTACGCACCAACAGGTCGCTACGAGTACACAAGCAGCAGAAAAGATGTCCTGGTCCCTGAAATGCAGACTCCGGGCCAAGGAATTGGTTGATGTCCGAAAGGAGGTTGGCTTGTTCCTTAGTCAACTCAGGTTCCTAGGTTAACTGGCGCCAAAACTTGTGTGCAAACCCTACCACACCAGCCCTAAAACCTGCTTGTAGGTTACACAGGATTTCCACAATTCAGGGGCCTCATAAGCTTTTTAATCATGACCGCAAAAACAGGTTTGGGGTACTTAAGGTAAGCCGAAGGCGATGATCCCCAAGCAAGACATGCAACATCGAAACTCTTGCTAGCCCAGGACTCAAATTAAGCCCATTTAGGGGTTGGTGACCCTCTTAACCTCAAGAACGTAGGGGTGGAGAAGAAGGTCCTTTGCTTAGTGCAACACATTCCTTGCCCACGGTCCGAGCTAGAAAGCAATTTTGTTGCCTGGCTGATGCCTTTCATGTCACTCTGCAGTTTAGGGGTCAGGCTTTAGGCGTTGTGAGCACTTCGTCCAGGGCGCATTGGATTGGATCAGGGAGCCGTCCCCATTGCCTCGCTGTGTATCAGAACGGGGCTCATGCATGAGCTCAGCGAGCTTGCTTGCGTTGTAAGGTCTGCACTCTTTTGGGGATCCGTGTGTAACGTTGTGCTGGTCATCAACGTGACCTAGCCTGGCAGAGCAGAGACGAAGCACTAGGACGCCAAATCAGCAGGAAACCGCACCTGCATCACTAGAAAAAAGCCCTGTATGTCCGGGCTCGCCATCACACATGCGTTGTTTTGAATAGACGTCATGACTCGCGAGAACATCCGCCCTAAACCTATGGCACCAGTGGGTACCGCCTAAACCCAAAACCCCAAAACCCTAAGCCCTAAACCCTGAACCTTAAGCCTATACCCTAATCACCTAAACCCTAAGCCCTAAACCCTAAAACCCTAAAACCCTAAACCCTAAACCCTAAACCCTAAACCCTAAACCCTAAACCCTAAACCCTGCGTGCCGCCGAAGGGGCAGACACGGGATGCGAGGCTGGTCCCCGACAAGTCCCTGTACTTCGCGTCGTGTGCGATACTGGCTCTCCAAGCTCCTCGAGCTCTTTCGAGCTTGGGATATCGGGATAGCGGGGTTTAGGGGTTAGGGTATTGGGTTAGGGTTTAGGGTTTAGGGTTTAGGGTTTAGGGTTTAGGGCTAGGGTTTAGAGTTTGGGGTTTGGGGTTTAGGGCTTAATTAGGGTTCGAATAAGGAATTGGTGGTTTACAGATGGCTCCTTTGGGCAAGGCTGGTGCTCGCGCGGGAATTCGTGACAGGCAACTTAGGAGGGGACTGTTGGGGTAGCAAACTAAGAACAACAAGGACGCAATCTTATAATGAGGAGTCGAAAAGCCACCCTAACTCCTTATAAACCCTAAACCCTAAACCGCACGCAGGCCTCGACTGCTCCCGAGGCTCTCCAGCTAGCTTGGCCCTAGTCAGACTCTGTGGACAACTCTTCTAAGTAACACGCTGAGGGTGTTGGATTTTAGGCTTACTTGATGAGGTTTTCAAAATGTGACTCCCAAACCGAATCACGGAAAAACACCATTGAGTAAGAGCCTAGGGTGCAGATCACTAAACCCAAAACCCTTGTGCAACAGGCTTGCCAGCCCTTTTTACGCACGGACTCAGGCGGCTGCCAAGCCAGCCCTAAACCCCAAACCCTAAACCCTAGACCCGAAATCCCACACGTTCTTGAGCTGTGCGTCTGGCAGCTGCGATCTCCAGCCGGAACTCGCCGCCCACAAAGGAAGGGCTGCAGAGCACCCAGATGAACATCACTTGCATGAAGATGCCTCGGGTTCGACCCAAAAAGCGTAACCTAGGAATGCAAAAAAAATGCGCCCTCGTGCTTTTTAGAGGGGCTCCGATATGGGAACCGAAACCCAGTTTAATAACAAGGGAATAAGTTGGGCCTTCTCTTTGGGCCCTTGTCGGGTTCGAGCTTAGGGTTCAAGCGTGAACTGATGCAGAGGCGGGGTGGTCACACCACAACGCATGTAACGCCTCAGATCATGTCGATGAGACTGTGCCTACTCCCTAATCCCTAAACCCTAAACCCCAAAAAACTAAACCCTAAACCCTAAACCCTAACCCCTAAACCACCCAAACTCACACTGACATGTGGAGCAAAACGGAGTGCAAGGTCCGGAGAAGTCGTCACCCTCTAGACTTTTCACCATCACCCCGACGTCGACCCCAAGTTCAACAAAAACAGCCCTAAAACCCTAACCTAGGGTTTGGGGTTTGGGGTTTAGGGTTTGGGGTTTGGGGTTTAGGGTTTAGGGTTTAGGGTTGAGGGCTAACACACTAAGAACCCTAAACCCTGAACCCGACGCATCCATCCTAAACTCCGGGCAAGGGACTCTTTGACTGCAAGGGAAAGAAGCCCTGGACAGAGTCGCGAACTGCCACATGGCCCTCGAAACAAAAGGTGCTCCCTTCTGGGGCAGATATTACCCAAAGAGGAACCATAGATTCAACGAAAAGACCTGTGCACCCTAGAATTGTTGCTTGCGGCACCTACTGTGCATGGTTCGTACAAGAAAAGCAGCCCCCCCCGCCTCATTAAGAAACAAAAAGGAAAAAACTGCAATATTGGGTAGTCTAAGCCCTAAACCCTAAACCCTAAACCCTAAACCCTAAAAACGCACATTCCTTGGCACCGAAAATTCCGCACCCTCCTGGGACAAGCGGCTCCCTACCGCAAGGAGCAGGGTCAGAAGGATGTCCATCCAGCCGGCCCCCGTGAAGCCTTGGCTATCCGCTTGCTTTTAGGGTTTAGGGTTTAGGGTTTAGGGTTTAGGGTGTAGGGTTTAGGGTTTAGGGTTTAGGGTTGGGTCTTAGGGCCATTCTAGGGCCCCAGCCGCCTCTAGGAAGCTTGAGGGAACCCAACACCTGCTCAAACGGAAATACGGCTCCCTCTCCCAGGAGTCTATACTCCCCTTAGAAGCTTAATAAACATATCATGTTTCATATCCTCTTGGGCGTTATAAAAAATAGTTCCCAAGGGGGATGTAGGAGTAGGTTTTGGGGTTGACCTCAACCTTTCAGTGCGGGGCAGTGATGGGTTTTGGGCTTGTAGCTCTGTTAGTAGGGTCTGGGAGTCATTTACCATATGTCATGCCTCAAAAGGGGCTTAGAAGAACCCCCTTGGGTTTGGGGTTTAGGCTTTAGGGTACCAGTGAACCACCTTGACAGCAAGAGTGGGAACCCTAAACCCGAAACCCTAAAACCCCCCTAAAACCTCCAGGTTCTACGGCAAGATGCCGAGGACAAGAACCACGTTCCAAACCTCGGCTGAGCGATGCGGAAACGGCAGAAACCTGGAGGAATCCGAATGAAAACTCCCGCTCCTGTGGTGCCTTGTGGCTGAGCTTGCGACCCTAAACCCTAAACCCTAAACCCTAAACCCTAAACCCTAAACCCTAAACCCTAAACCCTAAACCTACACCCAACTTCTACCTTCCCCTCTCTCATTCTGCAGAGCACGAGCCCGATGTGCAACTTGGCGCTTGTAGAAGGTGGTGCTGCCAAGAAGAACCCCCAGCCCCCAGCCTACCAATGATTCAAAAACCCTTGAAGCTTTCTCAAGCTTGGCAACCGTTCTCTTAGGTTTAGGGCTTAGTGTTTTGGGGGATCTTGAGGTAGGGCTCCGGGGCTTATGGAGCAATACGGGTCTTTGGGGTTGTAGGGTTCACACACCTAGGGCTTAGCTTGGGGATTTGGCGACTGTTCTGCATGATCGGCTTTTGGGGGATTTATTTTCATGGGAAATACCCATATATTGGTATCCAGTCAAACACTGCACCCGAAACCCTGAAGCCAAAACCCTAACCCTAACCCTCACAAACCTGAATGCAGAAGGAAGGCTGTTTCTTGAAAGGGGATGGGCTCCTCATCTTGATCTTCCTCCTGCGCGATGTAAACCCTAAACCCTATAAACCCTATAAACCCTATAAACCCTATAAACCCTACAAACCCTACAAACCCTATAACCCCTATAAACCCAATGAACCCTATAAACCCTATAAACCCTATAAACCCTATAAACCCTATAAACCCTATTAACCCTATACGCCCAAAAACTCCTATAAACACTATAAACCCTATAAACCCTGAACCCTAACCTAAACTATAGGTTTTGTTCCTCTGGCCGGCGCTGCCTATCAGGAGATGTAAGGAGTCCCTATCATGAGATGTAAGGAGTCGGCAGGAGTTGAGCTTGGCAAGTGTTCCAGGTGAGCTACAAAGAGCGTTGCGCCTCAATCTCCCGGATTTGCGGCTGGAACACCTGGATCCTTCAGGGGGGCTCAGCAGCAGGCCCTTTCTAAGGTAGCAACCCGCACCCTATGCCATTATGCGGTCCATGAGCTAACAGCGCAAGACGAGACTGCCAATCTAGATGACGGGTTGCCTGGCCGCTCCAAGCTCTTCAGTTCATCCTATACTCCCAAACCGCCCAAACCCATAAGTTGCTGTCCTCTCCCCATCCTCATGGTGGTGCTTCTTGGCATCCATTTCGGTGCTGGGGACCACAGCGTTCAGGACGCTCCCTGGCCCATTCTGCTTGCGGAAGATGACGGTTCAGAAGTTCAGGGGGCTCTCTGGTGCTCTCTGCGTGTGTTCAGTGAGGAGATTTCACTGGGGTCATGCGGGGTCAAGCAAGGGAGGCTCGTTGCGTGGGGCTCAGTGCAGTTTTTGAGGAGGGACCAGCACTCACACCATTTGTCGTCCATGCAGCTGCCAAAAAAACACCTCTTCGCATGGACGGGGCATGTTACATGTCTGACTCCACTCACTACGACCCTTTCTGCATCACCTGATTTCGATGCGGTGTGAAGCCTGGAATGCTCACGTCCTGCACGATTTCCTGGGCCGCTTTATGATACATCATGGTGGAACATCGGCTTGTGCGTGTGTAGATAACGCCTACAACTGTCAGCTTTCTTGCTGGAGTCGCGCATACCAGTAACGCCTGCATGTGGGTATATGTTGTACTTCCTTGTTGGGTTTATTCAGAGGACCATTCTTATTCCTTATTGGGACTTCATATGACAAAAGAGTACAACTATGACCAAGGACCCAGCATGTGTATGCATGCATGCGGTCATCGGAGCACGTGTGCACATGTGATTGGACGGGCAGAAGCAGCCAAAGGGCCCAGAGGGTCCATTTGTAGTACTCTTATGGCATTAGGTGGCCAAAAGCCCTACCAAATAGCGTTTTTTGAGGTACCCCATTCCATACTAGAACTACACATGGGGTGGGTACATTGGCATCCTCATGTCTAGGGCGTGAAGCTCAGGAAAACGAAGCCTTAAACCCGAAACCCTATAAACCCCCCCCTGAAAACCCTATAAGCCCTATAAACCCTAAACCCTAAAGCTCAGGCCGCGGATCCAAACCACTCTTCGCCAGAGCAGAAGCATCGAGGTGTTGCTTGAAGGGAGTTGGGTGCTCCATCCTGCCAGAGAGGTTGGGCATCAAGCCCTCCCCAACCCCCAAACTACTCGGTTTAGGGTTGAGGGTTGAGGGTTACCTTGGAGGTTCTTGGGTACTTGCAAGTATAGGGTTTTGGGTACTCTATATATATATATATATGTTTAGGTTTATGCGTCTTGTTGCCATACGTATAACCCCTACGTAGAACTACCCGTGAACCTCCAAGCACAGGTGGCACATGCACAGGTTTGTCTGTCCCAGTTGAGGATTTGATCTAGGGTTGACCTTATCAGACACGGGCCGCCTCAATGCCCACCCGACCCAGGTACCCTAAACCCTACGAAAAACCCTGAACCCTTTTTTGAACCCAGAGTCAGCTGGGACGACCCGAAACCCTAAACCCTAAACCCTAAACCCTGAACCCTAAACCCTAAACCCTAAACCCTAAACCCTAAACCCTAAACCCTAAACCCTAAACCCCACGCCCCAAGAAGGCTCCTGATCTTCTCCTCTATAGCCTGGAGGCGAAGATAAAGCGAGGAAAGCTCGCCATGCATCTCCTCCCGCATTCCTGGGCTTGCTTTGCCTCCCTGGCAAGGAGGGGGGTCTCCTTACTGTACCAACTATAGTTTAGGGACGTATAACCTAAGTTAGGATCTCTTTCTAACCCAATTCCGGGCGCTTTATAACCGTACTTACAACGGGGGGGGGGGGGGGGTCCCTTCTTGTAGACCCTGTCTTACATCAGGTATACATGAGCTTAACACTCTGCTGCAAGTTAGCCTTGCACGGCATCTGCAAGGCCTTAGAATCTAAGCCCCCTGGACCGGCGATCAGTTTCCGAGAGAGCACAAAGGGGTCCAAAAGAAGTAGAAATGTACACCGAGCTTGGCCTTGTACTCCCAAAACCCGAAACTTAAGCCCACGACTGCTTACCCTAAACCCTAAACCCTAAACCCTAAACCCTAAACCCTAAACCCTGTTGTCGGGCCATGCCCTACCCGCCCCACACAACCCCTCAAGCACTCTGTCGTCTAGCAGAGCTTCGTCGCTCCAGGGCCGCCAACTTCTTCTCCAGCTTGCCGGCCGACATGGCGGTTTCCGAAATTGGGTTAGGGTTTAGGGTTTAGGGTTTAGGGTTTAGGGTTTAGGGTTTAGGGTTTAGGGTTTAGGGTTTAGGGTTTAGGGTTTAGGGTTTTCCGAAATTGGGGTACCTTATAGGGAATCCTAGGGGGGGGGGGGGGGGGGGATTTTAGCGCAGTTATACAGGAATATTGACAGTAGGTGTTCAGAGGATCAGGTCTGCGTGAACCGCCATGCTTGGCGAACCAAGGAAGCCTGGCTGACATCAATCGCAATCACAGGTCGAAGCTGATCTAGAGTTTAGGGTTTAGGGTTTATTTAGGGTTTATATAGGGTTTATAAAGGGTTTATATAGGGCTTAGAGTCCAAGCATGCATAAACCAAGCAAGCATTCTGTCGAATAAAACTGCCCACGAGATTGAGTAGGCAGGTGGCCTAACGACCTGAAACAAGTCTTCTATAGTGTATAGGGACGTGAAGTACGGTATAGACTCCTTGTATCCCCAAAAGGACACCCAATATATACACTCACCAATGTTATAAAGGAGCCTCATGTACACTCACCAAGAACAGTAATATAAACCCTGCTTCATGTGAACTTGGACATGGGTTCATCTTGCCTGCGTGAACCTATGTGACCGCATGTCATACCCAAGCACATTGATCTGTTTCTTCTGGCTCGGCGCTTGTGCAGATGATGCCTGCAACCGGAAACAGAAGCTCGCGGTGCATGTGCAGGAGCAGGTCTGCACGCACCCGATTCCTACCGGGTTGGTGCATGTGCCAAGGCCATCAATCACTACTGTGTTATCTCAGAGACACCCACAGTCATGGTCATGGCACTGGAAGATTGGTCCTGCTTGATAGCCCGTGCGGTCAGCAAGGCCAAACGAACGTACCTAATTGTCCTGCACATACTCGTCTCAAGTCTCCGAAAAAGATTCCACGTTTCGATGCTTTGAGGACTTAAGGGTTTGCAAGGCTGACTGTGGGTATGAATAATACTACTCATATTCATTAGATTCATAATACTCATGATATTCATGACGTTCATGATGTAACCCTAAACCCTAAACCCTAAACCCTAAACCCTAAACCCTAAATCATAACCTCACGGAACAGCCTTCAGTCCACCTTCTTCGGCGCTGCGCCTCGTCTGCCTCACCACGCCCGAAGATGGAAGCCCGGCATGATGGTCTTGAAGCCTGGCATGACACATAAATTTATAAAGGGCTTAGGGTTTATAGGGTTTAGGGCTTAGGGCTTAGGGTTTAGGTTTAGGGTTTAGGGTTTAGGGTTTAGGGTTTAGGGTTTAGGGTTTAGGGTTTAGGGTTTAGGGTTTAGGGTTTAGGACTAGAAAGGGCGTTCGGGTTTTTGGGGCTTTGGGGCTTCAGGGTTGGGCTTGGGTCCAAAGGCAGGCTGCATTTGCTGTGTGTTTGGACAGCTACAGATTGGAACATGCCTGCCTCATGCATCCAAACAAGGATGAATGGGGAAGTCCCAATAAGACATAGACATACTGCGACCCTGAGCACTCGCTGGCAGCAACTGCGATGTGTTCATGATAGTTCTTGTTGCGCAGCTCTTCTGCAGAGGCCTTTTGCTTTCCAGGCGCAAACATAATCAGAGACTTAATCCACCCGGAACCTTTTTCTCCAATTTTGCAAAATCTGGCTCGTGTGACTCTGGCAGTTCTTTGCGTGAAAGATGCATCTGAATTGATTTCTGTACCTTGCGGAATGCGTCAGCCATTGCTGAGTACGCTTCCCGCACGTGATACGATGTGGTACCAACTGTGGAGCTGGTGCCCAGCCCACCGCTCAAGAGATTAAGACTCGTACCCGTATGGTTTTCCTTAATTAAGATACTCCTAATATGGCTCTTTAGTACCTCTAAGGTTTTCCTTAAGATACTCCTAATATGGCTCTTTTAGTACCTCAGGAATCTTCCCAAACCCAAAACACCACCTTAAATGTGCGAGGTAGAGTCCTTTGAATCGAAGTATGAACACTTGCCACACACGACGCGAGCAACGATTCTTCGGCGCCCCCGAGGGCGTGAGTGGTTGCCATCCGCATTCTGATGGACAAAACGTCGAACGGCCCAACTTTGTCGCTGTTGCTATGACACCAGACTTCCCACATCAAGCACCGCAGGCCGCAGTGATTTCTGATGCTGCTGGATTTGTTTTCAAATGGTGAACGGATGCATCGACTGGCCCATCAGACACTGACAGATATTAGTGCGTCATCCAGACTCTCCACATCCTTCAAGGTTGAATCCCTCATCTCTTCGATGGAGTCCGTCACTGGAAGCCTATTGGACCTCCACCAAGCAATGGATTCCATGGATGCGTAGTCACCTGCGCCACGCTCCCACAAAGCCCACAGCAAAGAGTCGGGGGCCTGCTTCTTGACGGCCAAGTCAAAGGCTGTCTGGTTCTTGCTGTTGCGTACATCCACTCGGGCGCTGGTTTCCAGGAGCAAGAGCGCACAGCTGTAGGAACCACTCAAGATGCTGCGCATCAAGGGTGTTGCACTGGGCTGATGATACACGAGGGTCGTCAATGACGTTGGAGCCACTCTGTGCTTGAGCGCACAGGCACTGACGAATAACTTCATCAAAGTGTTTCTAGGGACCACTGCTCCGTCCTTGTCACAGCCCATGTCCAGCAGCACAGAGATTGTTTCCGGGCTTGCATGCCCGAAGCCAGTGGCAAACCCTATGGCATCCCTCTGCGACAGAGCATGAGGGGGAACATTCAGCACTTCCTTCAGAATCTTTGTGGCTCCCATAGTGCAGGCGTGATCAAAAGCATTGGTGCCGAAGATGCTCCTCAACAAAGGATCCGCACCCGCTTCCAGGAGAATCCTGGCCCCGTCTATGTTGTCAGAAGTGCTTGCATAGAACAATGGACTGCTGCGTTGAGGGTCGTGTTTGTTGGGATCTGCTCTGAAACGAAGCAAAACTCGCGTTGCCTCGTTATGGCCCTGAGATGTGCAGATTGATAAGGCTGGGGTCCCTTTCACAAACATCACGAGCTGTTGCACCTTCCGGATGTAGTCATTGGGATCTGCTCCCTGCAGCAGTAGCGCTTCAACTACCTCCGGCTTTCCTCCCAACGCAGCATATAGCAACGGAGACCACCCGGATGTGTCACGATCTGAAACCTTCTCAAAGCCGTTCTGGCGAAGGAAATCTCTGACGATCTCTTCCGGCCCTTTGGGTGTACCGACAGACCCGACAGGACTGTCTTCCAACAGCCCGGACACAGGCACCGTGTCGGTGTTCCTCAAAAGGACTGACTGATGATGCAGAAGAAAACGGTACCTGGAAACATCCCCAGTTCTCAATGAGTTGTGCAACTGCTTTTGCGCCATGTCCTTCACCAACTGCCCTATCACTTTTCGGTCGTCGGCGATGGTGAATTCTCCATCGCCCGGGGCTTTTGACATGTCATATGCCGCGCCCAGTGACACCTGCCGGGGGCTCTCTACGATCAACGTCAACCCATTGTTGACGGAAAGGTCCCGCACAACAGCTTCTGCCCTACACCATCCTCTCTGCTTCCACGACTGGGCGCTCAATGTTGACAGATTTGCGTGCTTCATCAGCGGGCAAAGGGCTACAAAGTAGTGACACTTGTCGATGTAAGCAGAGATGCTTGCAATGGCATTCCGTTGGTCCTGGAACTTGTTGGCACTCACTGACCTGCTTTCCGTGTCGACAGCATACTGCGGGATGCAAAAGTAGTCGTACCAAACCCAGATCGGAGTGGAAGTCAGCTGGGACGCATTAAACTGTTGAGCCGATCCTCCTTCCAACTTGAAGACCAGCTCCGTCCAAACATTTGGCTGTGCAACAGTGCGACCTGTCATGAGGTTTGACATGGCCTCCTGGAAGATCTTCAGCTGTTTCCCATCTGGATCTGGGTGTTGTTCGCTGGTCCATTGATGAGAGATGAACATGGCTTTACCCCGACCAGGATCAAAGGTCTCGAGCAATCCATCAAGCAACAACTCCTGATGAGGACGCACCTGGGTCATCTTCATAACTGTCTCCAAGGGAACGACGTACATCGGAAAGTTCAACAGCAACTCCTTCGGCTCCCTCAACGACGCCGCGCAGTCATCCAATGCCGTCCGCGGCAGGCCGCCACGGCAAGCCATATCGCACTCAGCAGCCCAACGGTCACTGGCCCAAGGCTACCGAGGTTGAACCCCTTCCTTTGAGCAGTCAAGAGGGAAAAGCCCTCGGCATCTTTCGCATGGACGTGCGCGACAGCGCATCGTTTGACTTTATTGAACATTCACGCGTGCATGAGACTCGCGCCCATCGTTCATGAAACTTTGCTTCCAAATCGGGTCCAACCTTGCACACCCTGTCGATGAATCATGATGAATCATGATGAGTCCCAATAATAATCATAATAATAATGATGAACCATGGGTCGCAGTCTTCTAAGCGGCCTCGCCGAAGGTTGCGTAGGGACGCGGCTGGAACATGAGCCTTGAATTGACAGGGACTCAAAACAGGGTTTAGGGTTTAGGGTTTAGGGTACCGGGCTTTGTGAACAGCGGAAGGTCGCACATGGACAGCACCGCGCCGGCACTTGAAGGAGGATCACTGATGCCGGGCCCCGGCAAGGCCCTGACTGCATGAGAAGCACCTGAACCTGAGCCTGAAGCTCTGCTGCAAGTCAGCCCTAAAAGTCATCTGACCCTAAACCCTAAACCCTAAACCCGAAACCCGAAACCCTACACCTTGGCCCCTTCTGCGCCCTTGCCGATTTGGGCTTCCCTTTTTCTGGGTACCCGGTACTCCCAAAACCCGAAACCCAAGCCCACAACTGCACTTTCGTAAGGGCATGCCCTAGAATCCTAGAATCCTAGAATCCTAGAATCCTCAACCCGAAACCCTAAACCCTGAACCAAGCCCATGCATAACATTCATAACATTCATGACCTCACGATGTCTGCGCTGCTTGCGCCCGGAACGGCCTTCAATCCACCCTTCTTCGGCCTCCTCACACCGGTCCCGAAGATGGAAGCTTGGCATGCTGGTGTTGAAGCCCGGCGAGACATATTCAGGGGGTTTAGGGTTATAGGGTTTAGGGTTTAGGGTTTAGGGTTTAGGGTTTAGGGTTTAGGGTTAATTAGGGTTTAGGGTTTACGGGACTGTAAAGGGCTCAGGACTGGGGCCTTCGGGTTTTTGGGGCTTTGAGGCTTCAGGGTTGGGCTTGGGTCCAAAGGCAGGCTGCATTTGCTGCGCGCGTGGACGCCGCCAGATTGGAAGATGCCTGCCGAATGCATCCAAACAAGGATGAATGGGGAAGTCCCAATAGGACATAGACATACTGCGACCCTGAGCACTCGCTGGCAGCAACTGCGATGTGTTCATGATAGTTCTTGTTGCGCAGCTCTTCTGCAGACATCATTGTTGTCCAGGCGCAAACATAATCATAGCCTTGATCCGCCCTGAACCTTTTTTTCTCCAATTTTGCATATCTGAGTGGTGTGACTCTAGCAGTTAATTGCTTGAAAGATGCATCTGAATTTATTTCTGTACCTTGCGGATTGCGTCAGCCATTGCTGAGTACGCTTCCCCGAAACGTGACGCGATGTGATACGCACTTGGAGGTTCAGGGTACTTATGACCCAATTATAAGTGTAGCTATAAACCACGTCAACGCCCCTTAAGTATAACCTAGTAGGCTCATAATTGGGTTCTAGGTACAATTATAATTGGGTTACTATAAGTACCCAAAACCCTAAACCCTAAACCCTAATAGTTGGGCTACTAAGTAGTAGTCTGAACCTCCAGGACACAGTAGGCTGCGAGAGCTGGCAGAGCTCGAAGAGCTGGTGCCCAGCCCACCGCTCATCAAGAGATTAAGACTCGTACCCTTAAGGTTGCACCCCTAAAGCTTCCCTTAAAAAAAAAAATGTATATATATATACACATATATATCTATATATATATATATATATATATATACTTCTACATATGTATATATGTATGCATGTATACGGGCCGTATTAGGAGTATGTAGAACAAACAACATATATATATATATACATATGTATATACACACTGCTCATACGGCCCTTCTACTACCTCAGGAATGTCAAAAACGGGTCCCCAAACCCCAGGGTACCAGCTTGGGGGCCAAAGGTTGAGTCCCTTGACTCGAAGAATGATTAGCAAGGATACTTCGGCGCGTCCGAGGGACTGAAACGTTGCCAACAGCATTCTGCTGCGAACTGCCCCTGGACCAAATGTCCAAGGGCCCAACTGTCTTTTGCTATGGAACCACAGCAACACACCGCTGGCCACAGTGATTTCTGATGCTGCTGGATCTGTTGGGTTCAGTAGCCGCCAGGCCAGTCCAGGCAAAACGACGCAGAACATGAATTTTCACATGATCATCTGATCCAATCGACTGGCCCTTCAGACACCGACGGATATCATTGGGTCATCCACACTGTCTAGACTCTCCAAATCCTCATCGTCAAAGGTTGAACCCCCCAACTCTTCGATGGAGTCCACTGGGAACTTTTGTGTTGTATTGGACCACCATCGGGCGATGGATTCCTTGGATGCGTGGTCCCCTGCGCCACGCTCCCACAAAGCCCACAGCAAAGAGTCGGGGGCCTGCTTCTTGACGGCCAAGTCAAAGGCTGTCTGGTTCTTGCTGTTGCGTACATCCACTCGGGCGCTGGTTTCCAGGAGCAAGAGCGCACAGCTGTAGGAACCACTCAAGATGCTGCGCATCAAGGGTGTTGCACTGGGCTGATGATACACGAGGGTCGTCAATGACGTTGGAGCCACTCTGTGCTTGAGTGCACAGGCACTGACGAATAACTTCATCAAAGTGTTTCTAGGGACCACTGCTCCGTCCTTGTCACAGCCCATGTCCAGCAGCACAGAGATTGTTTCCGGGCATGCATGCCCGAAGCCAGTGGCAAAGGCTATGGCCTCCCTTTGCGAAAGAGCATGAGGGGGAACATTCAGCACTTCCTTCAGAATCTTTGTGGCTCCCATAGTGCAGGCTTGATCAAAAGCATTGGTGTCGAATATGCTCCTCAACAAAGGATCTGCCCCCGCTTCCATGAGAATCCTGGCCCCGTCCATGTTATCAGAATTGCTTGCATAGAACAATGGACTGCTGCGTCCGGGGTCGTGTTTGTTGGGATCTGCTCTGAAGCGAAGCAAAACTCGCATTGCCTCGTTATGTTCCTGTGACGTGCAGATTGATAAGGCTGGGGTCCCTTTCACAAACATCACGAGGTTTTGCACCTTCCGGATGTAATCATTGGGATCTGCTCCCTGCAGCAGCAGCGCTTCAATTACCTCCGGATTTCCTCCCAATGCAGCATACAGCAACGGAGACCACCCGGATGTGTCACGATCTGAAACCTTCTCAAAGCCGTTCTGGTGAAGGAAATCTCTGACGATCTCTTCCGGCCCTTTGGGTGTACTGACAGACCCGGCAGGACTGTCTTCCAACAACCCGGGAACAGGCATTGTGTCGGTGTTTCTCAAAAGGACTGACTGATGATGCAGAAGGAAACGGTACCTGGAAAAATCCCCAGTTCTCAATGAGTTGTGCAGCTGTTTTTGCACCATGTCCCGAATCAATTGTCCTATCACTCTTCGGTCGTCTGCAATGGTGAATTCTCCATCGCCCGGGGCTTTTGACATGTCATATGCCACACTGAGTGACACCTGCTGGGGGCTCTCTACGATCAACGTCAGCCCATTGTTGACGGAAAGGTCCCGCGCAACAGCTTCTGCCCTACACCATCCTCTCTGCTTCCACGACTGGGCGCTCAATGTTGATAGATTTGTGTGTTTCATCAGCGGGCAAAGGGCTACAAAGTAGTGACACTTGTCGATGTAAGCAGAGATGCTTGCAATGGCATTCCGTTGGTCCTGGAACTTGTTGGCACTCACTGACCTGCTTTCCATGTTAACAGCATGCTGTGGGATGCAAAAGTAGTCGTACCAAACCCATATCGGAGCGGAAGTCAACTGCGACGCCTTGAACAATGTAGCCGATCCTCCAGCCAACTTGAAAACCAGCTCCGTCCAAACATTTGGCTGTGCAACAGTGCGACCTGTCATGAGGTTTGACATGGCCTCCTGGAAGATTCTCAGCTGTTTCCCGTCTGGATCGGGGTGCTGTTCGCTGGTCCATTGATGAGAGACGAACATGGCTTTACCACGACCAGGATCAAAGGTCTCGAGCAATCCATCAAGCAACAACTCCTGGTGAGGACGCACATGGGTCATCTTCATAACTGTCTCCAAGGGAACGACGTACATCGGAAAGTTCAACAGCAACTCCTTCGGCTCCCTCAACGACGCCGCGCAGTCATCCAATGCCGTCCGCGGCAACCCGCCACGGCAAGCCATTTCGCACTCAGCAGCCCAACGGTCACTGGCCCAAGGCTACCGAGGTTGAACCCCTTCCTTTGAGCAGTCAAGAGCGCAGGAGTGCTCGGCATCTTGCGCATGAACGTGCGTGACGGCCGTTTGTTGGATTTTAAGGTGAGTATGACTGAGTGCGTGATGTCCTCGCCCATTGTTTATGAACGTTTGCTTCCAAATCGGATCGATACTTGACGACACTCGGTCGATGAACCATGCTGATTCACAGTGTTGAGCCCTGGATCACAGCCTTCAAGCGGACGCCTCGCATCCTCAGCTCAACGTCGTCTCCGAACATCAACATCATCGAGGCCAACCTAGGGTTTAAGGTTTAGGGTTTAGAGTTTAGGGTTTATAGGGATTAGGGTTTCATGGTGCTTGTCACAGGACATATAGTGGCCATTATTTTAACAGCTTCGGATTGGTTGAGGGTGTGGTTGATGCAAAGATCAGGCATATTGGGCATTTGCGACGCACACAGTCGTTCGTAGAACTTTGGCACCGTGGGACCTTCTGGAGGTGCCGGCAGGATTGTGCACAGAGCCGACGAAGCACAACCCAACTACTTTCGGCACCAAGAAACTAGAGGAAAACTAAACTCTAAACCCGAAACTCTAGCCCTAAACCCTTCTACAAGCGAAGGATTTACTTGAAGCCACGCCAAAACCGACCCTTACCTCTAACCTCAGCGACAAAAACCTATACAACCCTGTAGGCCCAGGAACAACCTAGGAATAACCAGGGCACCCCCTTCTTGGTTTTAAGGGGGTTATAAGGGAACCCCAACCCTAACAATGGAAATAAGGGCCTTCTCCGGGTCCGAGCCCCACAAACTCCCTGCATGCCCTGAGCACGCGATGGTCGCAGCACGGCGCCGAGTTTAGGGTTTAGGGTTCAGGGTTTAGGGTTTCTCCTCCAAGCTTTCCAGCAGACATGGCTACAAGCCCGGGGCTGTGTGGGTTGCAAGGGCTTCGGCTGTAAGGTTTCGTGAACCCTAAACCCTAAACCCTAAACCCTAAACCCCAAACCCGAAACCCTAAACCCTAAACCCTAAACCCTAAACCCTAAACCCTAAACCCTAAACCCTAAACCCTAATCCTAAACCCTAAACCCTGAACCCTAAACCCTGTAGGTGCTCAGAAAATCGGCTCTTCAGGAAGCCACCATGCTTGGTGGACTCAGGTAGCATCCTTGAGCCAAAGAGCACCGTAGTGAGCAAGCACACATGTGAACAAAAATGGTCCACGTTTAGGGTTCAGGGTTAAGGGCTTAGGGTTCCTTGTGTAGGCAGGCGTCTACCAGCGTTGAAACAAGTGGGGGGTTTCCGCAACTAGGGGTACCTTAGTAGGGTCCGTACTATAAAGGAATCCTATAAACTACTATTTGGGGGTTCTAGTAGATTAAGTCCCGTATTTTCGTACACCCCCAAGTAGTCTGACGATGTGAACCTTGGACTGGTGACCTTTTGGGACAGGGCATCTTCCTGAGCGCACCCATGTGAACTGCATGTCGCGCCCACGCACATTGCTCTCTTTCTGCTGGCTCGGCGCTTGTGCAGATGATTCGGGCAACCGGAAGCAGAAGCTCGCTGGGCATGCGCAAGAGCAGCTCTCTGCGCACACCCAGTTCCTACCGAGGTGGGTGCATTTACGAAAGCCATCAATGGGTTTAGGGTTTAGGGTTTAGGGTTTAGGGTTTAGGGTTTAGGGTTTAGGGTTCACTACTGTGTTTCTGGCAGAGACCCACAGTCCAGGCCATGGCACGGGAAGCTTGGGTCCTGCTTGACAGCCCATGCCGTCAGCAAGACCAAAACCAACGTAACTGTCCTTCCCAAGCATCCCTAAACCCTAAACCCCAAACCCTAAACCTCTATGTATTTCGAATGGATTACGAAGCCTGACTGTGGGGCTCCTCACGATTTCTGCGCCGTTCTCGGCCGGATCAGCCTTCAGTCGACCCTCTTCGGCGCTGGCTGGGCCTCTTCTGCCTCGCCGTTCCCGAAGATGGCGCCTGCATGATCGTTTTGAAGTTATATTGATTGATTTAGGGTTTAGGGTTTAGGGTTTAGAGTTTAGGGTTTAGGGTTTAGGGCTTAGGGTTCAGGGTTTAGGGTATAGATCTTACCAAGACGACATAAATGCGATCTGGAGCACTCAGCCCCTGCGACACCGCGCCGTCGAAGGTCTCCAGGGCTTCGGAGATTTGCCCCGCTGCGCTCTCAACGAAGCTGGTCCCTTCCTCCTCCTGGCATCGCGTTGCCCTACAGCACCAAAGAGCCCAAAGCAGGTATTACCTAGTTGTCCAGTAACCTGGGGGAATTAAAGGTTAACCTTCGGGATTGTAAAGGGGATTCTATTACCCCAAAAAGGTTAAAGGTTACCTACTCTACTACTAGGATTATTTACAGACCTTGGACCCCAATGTAGGTATTATTTGCATACTTGGAGCCCTATGGTTGGCACACAAAAGAATGCACTTCTCCAGATGACGGTTCTGCGCCTCATTCCCCTAGCTAAAGGCATGATGAGGATCGAGCTGTGGCTACTCTGGCACATCGCAACCTCGTGCAAACGAGCCCGAGGCTTGGAGTTTGCAACTTGCAAATCCTAAACCCTACAAACCCTAAACCCCTAAACCCCAAACCAACCCTAAACCCTAGACCCTAGACCCTAAAACCCTAAAACCCTAAAACCCTAACACCCTAAAACCCTAAAACCCTAAAACCCTAAAACCCTAAAACCCTAAAACCCTAAAACCCTCAACCCTAAACCCTAAGAGATTACACATAGGGCCAGGGCCATGTCGGGACTTGACACCAAGCTGATGTGAGGTCCTCGCGGATCACCAAGCTCTGGTCCCCGTTGGCGGTCTTCAGCTCCTTCCTTGGGGTTTAGGGTTTAGGGTTTAGGGTTTACTGTTTAGGGTTTAGGGTTTAGGGCCCAAACCCGAAGGGCCCACGTACCTATTATAGTAGGGGATAGGATTAGGGGACCCTTGGGGATATAGACCCTCTGAAAAAGGTCCCTGTTTAAGAGAGCCAGAGGAGGGTTCAGAAGGGGTCCCTTGAAAGGGTCCTATCCTACCTAGGATGTTCCTATATACTTGGGCCCTAAAGCTACGATATGGGAACCCCTTGAAAGACCAAGTAGACACCATATAGGGAACCCTAAGATTGGGGTCGTATACCCAATACTCTTCTAATTTCTATTGAGGAAATATGAACAAAGCTGCGTATAACCCCTCTAGCCTTTTTTAGGGTTCATGTGCCTGCCAGGGTTCTGCAAGCCGACCACAGAGAGGATGGTGATGAGGTCCAGCATGATGGCGAGGTCAAGGCAAACGGCTGTTCGCAAATGGTCTCTTCAAACTCGAGCCACGACGCTGCTCGAACATGAGATGGGTAAACGTGCACAGCATTTCTAAAGTCTCCACCAACATGAGTGCAGTAGAACCAAACTGTTGGCAGCCGCTATGTGCTCATGACACTTCTCGTTGCGCAGCTCTTCTAAACCCTAAACCCTAAACCCTAAACCCTAAACCCTAAACCCTGAGCCCTTTTCTTCAGTGGCGCACCGCCGCTCACCGCAAAGCTGCTCCGGTCCACGCTGTTGAACAACTCGTCGGCCGGAAGAGGCTCCAACGTATCTGCCTCGGAATTGAAGTTGGCATGACGAAGATGACCTACGAACCGGTAGCCATAACCACAATCTTGGGCCTTGACATGAAGAAAACCGCACGGATCTTTTGAATTCCAGGCCCCTGTGAGCCCGAAGGCTCAACATGATCAACATGTGCAACCCCTTGCTTCTTTCTGGGCTGCAAAGACCTTTGGGGACGACATGAACTCTAAGAGAGTTTATGGTTCAATATACCTGAACGTGAATTACAGTCTTGTAGTAGTATAGGGTATACGATGCCAATTTTTGGGTTCATTCGGTCCTCAAGGAACCGAAGGCCGGGCGAGAGCTAGTCCACATCACGAATATACTATATCATCACCCTCAAAAATCGTGTTAAATTGCTAAGGCCCCTACAGTACTATAGTAACCCTAAACCCTAAACCCTAAACCCTGAACCCTAAACCCTAAACCCTATTCTGATTATTCAGACCCCGATAGTAGTCCACAGTGCAGCCCTGGGGCAAGGCGCCGTCGGGCCTCCTCAGGCAACTCCAAGTTGCCCCGGTCCAGGATCAAGTAACCTGCTTAGCCCTTGAGGCTTTAGGCGCTTCAATCTTTCTTTGGGGGGTTTAGGGTTCAGGGTTTAGGGTTTGGGGTTTTGGGGTTTAAGGTTTACGTTTTAGGTCTTAGGCGCTTCGTTTTTTTCAAACATCGTTTGCTTGCACGTGTATGGACGTGAACTGAACCGATCCCCACCGCATCCTATCCTGCGGAGCATCTGCTGGTAGCTTGCCCTTACGGAAAAAAGTGACCATGGCATACGCCTATCCTCCTAACGACTCCCTCTATGGCTCCTTGGGACACTACCCCCAAGCCCAAACGCAAACAAACCCAGCCACGCTGGGGGTCAGCAACTTGCGAGACGCAGCCGTAGAGGACCTGCCAGTCCTGCAAGGGCACGGGTTTTCGTGGGTTTTTTGTTGCCGTGGATCTTGTCTTTTCGTGAATAGTAGAAGCTTCTGCTTTTGTTGGCGTCTTGCTTTCTAGCTGATGGGCCTGTGGAGTTTTGCTGTGTAACGGTTGAAGGCACTAGTTGGTAACGACTTTGATGAATCGTGACGTTTGAGGCGGCTGAAGAACTTTTGGGGCATGGGACATGTAAGGCTGAAGGCAGCGTGCACGGAGCACCGGAAGCCATCATGAGTCGTTCACACAAAACTGGTGCGCTCACCAAAAAACGGAGATGCGACTGCACATGTGCCAAACTGCAATATCATCGTTCTGGTCCCAATCTGGCCTCGTTTGCCATTACCACGGTGTAAAACCTCCTCAGCAGCAAGGCACACCCGATCAGGAAGTGGCATGACAGGCACAAAACCAATTGAACATTCCAAGGTACTGAGCGTTCGCCGGGTCACCTTCGAAGATCAAAATGAGTTTATTAAAACTTGATTTTGCTTATTCTTTCCCTGGCGTCTTGGACGACACCAAAGGTCACACTGCACAATTGCGTGACACCTCTAATATCCAAGCTTACATGCATATGTATATCCACATACGTTCTTGCTATACATACATCCATATATACATTCATATCCATGTACAGTTATACACTCATACACACATTTATGCAATATGTAAATCTGTGTATGAACCACTGCTTTTTCGTATGCGTCTTATCAAAGTTGAGGTCCGCCGCCTGCCAAGATGATCTCGGCCAGCACTTGCAGGAGATCTCGGGCCGCTTTGGGCGCCGCTGGCATCAGCCGGCCATTCCTGGGGTTGAGGGTCTGTAAGGTTGAATACTTAGGACTATATAGGGTTCATAGGGATTTAAGGGTTTGCACCCTAAACACTATAAACTCTAAATGCCTCAGCCCGAAACCCTAAAACACCCCTAGACCCCGAGACCCCGAACCCCGAAACCCTAAACCCTAGCCCTGCCTGGTGGGCTACCTTGTACCTTATGAAATCGAGCCCGAAACAGAGGTCCACCTTTAGGTTAGGAGGCTGCGCGGCGCAACCTAAGCCGAAGGACCGAAGAAACAGAACCTGGCCATGCTTTGCTGCTCCTAAACCCTAAACCCTAAACCCTAAACCCTAAACCCTAAACCCTAAACCCCTACACCTTAAACCCTAAACTTCAAACCGCGGCGGAAAGGGCTTAGGGTTCATAGTTTCGAGTTGGCCTGCGGAAACTAAGCCTGGGCGCAGGATGTCGGACGACGAGCCATCCGCAGGAACTGGCGGCCCGCAGGCGCAGCTAGGCTTGCCAGTCCTTGGGGGCGAAAGGAACTCCATCAATTGGGGAGTCGTATGAGCCTCCATGGTACTAAAACTCCTACGAGTTATAAGGTTGTATAAACCATAAAGCCTTTTTAGGGTTCATCCAAATTTGGTACCCCAAGAGTCTGCTCGTCCTCCCAATCTTCGCAGTAGATGACTTGCCTGGGCTGCACGGCAAACATTTGGGTCCTCTTTGTGCCCGGCGAGGAACCCCCCCCCCCCCTAGAAAGGACTCCCCAATACACCCCATTGGCTTTGAAGCAATAAATCTTCCCGAACCAACAAGGAATATCCTTGAAGGCCCTAAGCCCTAAACCCTAAACCCTAAACCCCTTTTGAACCCCAAACCACACAAATTATCCGAGGAGCTCTTTGGCCAGCCATGCCAAAAGCATCGTTGCACTCATCAAGGGTACGGAATCCGATCCTTGGCCGGCCAGGATTGGTTTAGGGTTTAGGGCTTAGGGTTTAAGGTTTAGGGTTTAGGGTCGAGTGCTTCAGTACCCAAAAAACATAGTTTGTAGCTGACGATTTGTTCAGAAAATCCATAAAGATCGAGTGTGAGAATCATAAGCTAACATAAGAGAGGGCGTGGGGGACCTAAACCCTAAACCCTAAACCCTAAACCCTAAACCCTAAACCCTAAACCTTTGTAAGGCATGTGCGGCTGAGGTTCCGACAAAGTCCTCCCATGGGCGGAGCTCAGCCGCAGATCGCGCAATGGCAGCCCAGAGGCAGCTTTCAGTACCTGTTAGGGCTGGGACGTCCCCCCTTGTAACGGCTCCTTAAAAGGGAGTATACTAGGGGGTACTGTAATCTCCATTAAGGGCGAACATCCCAACCTGTTAGTGTGATGAAGCTTCGGGCTTAGGAATTTTGTTTTGCCACCTGCCAGACCGTGGAAGGGACGTCGATGCAAGGCAACATATGAACAAAGTCAAGGTTCAGAGGTTAGGGCGGGGTTTAAGGTACCCCCCCCCCCCCCCACGCCCCGTCTTGTGTCGAGCTGCCGGACGCGAACTCGCAGGCGATGAGCGCACCAGCCTCCTGAGCTCCGTTGATGGCATGTCCCAATGGATCGATTCCAAGGGTGCAACCCTCCAACATACGTTGGGATGTTCCCCCTTGTACTAACAGCCCTTAATGGGGATTTAGAAAAGGGGGGTACTACGAATCCCTATGAAGGACTGTTAGTAAAGTGTAAGGGGAACACCCCAAAACATCCGAACCCAAGCTGAGCGGCGGCCCACAAGAGTCGCACAGCTGGCCACCATGAGCCTTTTGGACGGAGGGGGGAGGGGGGGGGGGGGTGGTTAAACAAAAGAATGTATTTCGTTAGAAACGGTTTCGGCCTTAGGGTTTAGGGTTTAGGGTTTCGGGCAGACCACCTTCATTATTCTAAACAGGTAAGAGGAACAATGTGGACGACAAAGCGGCAACAAGTACTCACGATACGTCCCAAGATCCAAATGCCGCCATGGCAACCGGCTGCGGCGAAGCTGCCGCAGGAGCTTGCAAAGCCAAATCGCGCCAAGCTTTGGACATGGATGCCTCAAACAGCTTCAAAAACCCTAAACCCTAAACTCTAAAGCATTTTAGCCAACAGGAGGCTGTCAAGGCCAAACATGGACGTGCCGAGTTGTTGGACGCAGAACCTATGTTCACAACGGCGCATCTCCAACCAAGGCGCCAAAAAACTGGCGTCGTCAACTTGAACAGAAACGTCTGCACGCCCGACTAGGAGCCTCATTTGATTTTGTGGATGACGTGAAGGCTTCGGCTCCTAAAAGGTATAATAATTATTGTGGACCCGAACTGACAAGAAGGTCTGGTTAGTGTGGATCCTACATCTCTCCGGAGGCTGGAGGGTGGAGGGTTGAGGGTTGATGGTTATTCCTTTTGACCCTAAACCCTAAACCCTAAACCCTAAACCCTAAACCCTCCCCAACAAAAAGGTAGCTCATGGAAAGGCCCCGGGGCAGCGCTGGAGGCGCCTCCGCGATTGCCGTGTGCACGGCTGCAACACTTTGGATGCAGCTGGCGGTTGTCAGCACCTTTGGTATAGAACTTGAGGATTCAGTTTCGGGTTGAGGGTTGAGGGTTTGGGGTTTAGGGTTGTGCACAACACAAGGGTTTGGAGTTTTTTGGCCTTGCAGTATAAATTTACAGGGCTAAAGGGTTCAAGGTGTGAAAAAATGGCAAACGAGTCTGCCTTGCACCTCTCGAAGCCGAGGTCGCCGTCCCGGAAAAGGTTTGCGGGTTCAGGGAATGCTTCTATACCCATCTTTGTGGCTCTAAACTAGGTCCATTTTCAGGGTTTGGGGTTTAAGGTTAAAACCCTAAACCCTAACCCCTAAACACTCCTCGAACAAAATACTCTTTGCCAACTCCAGGTCGCGGAAGCACCGGTATAAGGTTCAGATTCCGGGGCTTCGGGCTCCAGCCTACACCACGACGCACAACCAAGGTTTAGGGTTTAGGGTTTAGGGTTTAGTATGGCCACAGATAACCTTCAAAATGCCCTAAACCTAAGGCGCCAAGTGTGGGCCTTAATTTGGGTACTTAGTATAAAACCGTATAAAAACGATACAGAGAACGGGCCCAAACTTCGGATCCCCATAAACAAGGGTAAGGGAAGTCCAGAGACGCCAAGCGGCCTTGGGCCCTCCCAAAGCTTGTGCAACACGGGCCCATTGACCTTGCACAAGACATGTTTCAAAGACTTGCTTGGAGGTCTGTGGGTACAACAAAGTAGGGTTATAAGTACCCTAACATAGTGTCAATGTTTTGCTACAGAAAAACCCTTGGGACCAAATGAACCCTAAAATTGGGGGTCCGATAATGTTAACCTGCTTTTTATAAACCACCCCGGAATTAAAGACATCGGATCCCGGAACTGAATTATAAACCCCCCCTCAATAATAAGAAATCCCGGCCCGGGGACCGATTTGTTTTTCTACGTGCCCTTTTAGGTAGGTCAGGGCTTGGGGGCGGCTCGGGACAGCCCGGGGGGGGTTATTAAAAGGAGTTTATCATTACACTTTACTATTGGAATTTTTATGAATATGAACCATCAACCCTTTCAGGGTTCATTGTGTCCCCAAGCATCCTTAATTAGGGCAGACTAAGAACTTTCCAAGCCAGGTGGCCTTGGCATTTTAGATTCACGACGTCCATCACCAACAGGGACGCCCAAGCCGACCCAAATGATGTTTCGGTTTGACGGCCATGTCCTCCCCAGAGATGTAGCAAGTGAGGATCTTGCATCATCGTTCCGGGCGCCCCGCCATACCGGATCGGCCAGACCTGCTGCCAGAAAACGCAAAAACAAACAAAAATCACATGTTATCGGCCAAGATCGGCCAAGTCGCTGCAATGATTGGTCGCTCCGTGTCATTGCGGAGCATGCCGGCTGCGTGGAGATTGCGAGCTGCATGAGGAAACCCCCGCGCAATCGCATCTTGCCAGATATTCTGTAGGTGCGTCCTTGTGCGTTGTGCGCCTTTCTGCACTTGAGGGGACAGCCGGGACGCAATCCCTGCCACCAGCGAGAACGGCCATTTCCACAAGTCTCGTACATCCCCCGAAATTGGACACAAAGATAGCCAAGCGTGGTGGCGGGCTCGCCCCCGAGCAATGGACAGCGCCCTCTCCACAGCAGCGCTGCAAATGGATGTCGCACGTCCTTCCAGAATGCGCACATCTTGAACATCGCACCCACACACACCCGAAACCTTAAACCCAGACAGAGAGAAAGAGACAGACAGCGAAAGAGAGAGAGAGAGCGAGAGAGACAAACAGAGACAAAGAGACTAAACGAGACTGAGAAAGAAAGAGAGCGACAGAGAGAGACAGAGAGAGACACCCACACATAGAGGCAAAGAAACAGAAAGAGGCTGCGTGTTTGCATGTGGGCTTCGGGATGTCGGGCTCAATTCTCCGAATTAAGAGACAGTTTGCATCTAAATTGTTGCAGGTAATACAGTCGTTCTGCACAGTACATACATATGTACGAACACATATAAACATTTTGTTTTCGCGTGACCTCAATGTTTTTTTTTTTTTTTGTCTTTTTCCTCCTGTCCAGGTGGTCCTTGTGCAGTGGCGCCGCAGCCAGGGTGCAGGCGCGCAGCCGTCCCGCCGCCATTTCTGCTTTTGCCCACCGGTGGTCAGCCCTGCTCGCTTTCGCCGCTGCGCGGGCCTTCGAAGCAAGCCTGCTGTCACTCCCCCTCGCTGGCACAGGCAACATTGATGGGGAACCCCCAGCCCTCAGCGAGCTCCTTGCTGATTCCTGCTCCCGCCCCTCGCCAGCTGCATGCCGTGATTCGGCCGCATGATTCTGTACAGTTAGACACGGCCTCGCACACTAATTAATTAGCTCGTAACACCCACCGTTCTCCCTTGTCCTGAAAGGACCGTAGTCTTCGTGACTCGAACGGGCAAAGTGCAAGTGCAAAGTGCAAGTGTGCCTGTATACGCGGACCTTTCGCGGCAAACCGTGGAACGAATAACAAATTCAACCAAACATTCTGCCCAACCGTGCCGGCGTCGAAAAACGTCGTACAGACGCATCATCAAGGCTAGCAGCACCATGGGTCGCTGCGGGCACTACATATGAGCCGTTGTCAAAAACCCGTTTTGAAATCGTCATCCTACATTTTTTCCGCCCTTTTACGACAACGCAGGAAGTCAAACATCCGTCGGCGTCAGTCTACTCCGCAAATCGGCCGGGACCTCATGTAGCTCCGGCAAGGGCCCCTCGCCGAGCTCAGCGGCAGGTGGCAACTTGAGGAGCGAGGCGGCGTAGGCGTGCTGGGATGCGACTGCCAGGAGCTCTGGATCCGCTTGGCCCGGGTGGCGGCAGAGACGGCGGCCCCTGGCTGGACGTCTGTGCGGGGGCGGGTCTCGCCCCCGCAGCCTCCCTGGCTATTCACACCCACGCCCGTTCCAAAACAAGGCCCGCCGTGCGAGCAGCCGTACGCAGGCAAAATCAGGCAAGGGCGTGGTCGCCGAAACCATCCACCAGTCCACCGCAGCCTGGCGCAGGCCCGCAACGGTCCGAGCTGATTGGCAACAGGAAGGGAGGCCGGCGGATTCTGCGGGGGCTGCTGTTAGCCAAGCCCTGAAAACTTGCGAGCGCACGAGCGCTTGGCGAACAACGTTTGCAACAGCATGCGCTCGCGGAAGTGTAGGTTCCGAGTTCGCATCGTGTGTGACTGCCATCCATGCATGTAGCCCATCGCCTTTAGACCCGTGTCCTGCTGGCGAGGCGGGCAAATTCCACCCGCAGCCTCACGCCATTCCGGGCCAGCCTTCGGCTTTTACAGGAGGTTGCCGCATTTTGCAGACATGGTGCACAGCCACCTGCCGGCAGCGCAGCCAGGGTTTTGTGGAGCTCGCGACCTCCCCTTCTTTTGAGAGTGTCACCCACCGCATCATCATGCAGCTTTGCACATGGGCGGCGGCACTGTGTGCAAAGCATGGCTGGCCTGGCTCGCGCAGAGGCGCACATGGCGAGAAGCAGCCACGTGCATTCGAGATTTGGCAGTTAAGGAATAGCTGGGCCAAGAGCTGCCATTCCTCGCAGACACGTGATTCTGCCCAAGTGCGCACATACTCCTCATGGCCGATGGGCACGCCCAAGACCATCAACCCTGACCTGTCGCTTTGCCAGTCTTCGGGGCCCAGTTGTCTGTGGGGCGGTATCTCTCATCACACCCGCGAAAGGCACGCGGGTGCCGCGACATCGTGGTCGGGACTGTAGAGCAGGGTGCGGCATGGCCTCCAACATCAAGGAAAGATACGAAACTGTCCGTGCACCACCATTTCAGATCACCAGCTATTTTGTTGGAACCAAGACCAGGCGTGCATAAGGGTTGGAATGGATAATTTTTTTCGAAAGCACCATGAAATGCGGTCAGCGCCGACAGCTTACCTTGCCACTACAGGCGGGCCGCGAACGCGGCTCGGGCGCAACTCGGTTTGCCATCGGGCTCCCACAAAACTTGTGCGGTCAGATCAGGTCAGTACATACATGCGCAAGGAAACGAAGCCTGGTGGAACCTAAGCAATACCAAGCCTTACCAAGCAGGATCTCCTGCCGCGGTGCAAGTCTAGCTGCGCTTGCGCCTGGCGGCAGCACGCGCAGCGATGCCCGGTTGCACGGACTTCAAAGCCAGGATGTGCCAGGGTGCGGTCTTCAATCCCTTGAGACGGGGCTGACCGAGTGGCAAACTGGGTTCCGTGCCACAGCGGTCGGCCGTTGCAGACGACCTCGATGCGCCGGGCGTCGTGGATCAGCACATCCATCTTCTTCATGGCCGACAAAGCAGTGTAGCAACTAACCCGATCTCCGACTGAGACCCGTGCTATGGCTTGCTCAACCGGAATCGCGTGGGAGTGGCACAAGCAGCGCGGTAGTCACCGGCGCTCTCCTCGACAATAGGTGCCGGAAGCTTGTGCGAGCAACCGGGAGGCTGGTTTCCTCATCATTCCAGAGCATTCGCAAGCGTTCCCCACTGCACCCTGATGGTCCAAGGGCCGTTCCCTTTCGAGCTCGTCGGGCGTTGGCGATCAGGCAACCAACAATGAACTCCACTGGCGGTTCGCAGAGGCACGGGTCGATGGGAATTTGGGGTTTAATCCTAGGTTGTAGGTGTTACACGCGGGCGGGTTAACTCACATCTTCGCGTGTGAGATCACATGGGTTTGCATTTTAATGGGGAAGCGCGTGACACGTGTTGGGGTCGGGGTATGTTTCGCGGGTATGTTTCGGGGTGTATGTTACGGCGTATGTTTCGGGGGTATGTTTCGGGGGTATGTTTCGGGGTATGTTACGGGGTATGTTTCGCGGGTGTGCAACCCGTGTGCCATTTTAAACCTGAGCCCCCCAAAAAAAACACATGTTTTCGACACTATGCAAAATACGCACTTGTCACCGCACGCCTGGGAAGGGAACATGTTTTTGTCAGCGCGAAGGAGATCCCTGCTTGGGGGCGCAAGTGGGTTCTGACATGTTCTGACCAATCTTGGAGATCATGGTTGCGCAGCGGCGCCAGCAAGACATTGTCAACTGCTTGTGGACACATGATGATGATGTTGGCATGGCAGAACCCGAAATCCCTGCCTTGGAGCACGTCTGGACGTACTCGCGTCCGCATGTTGTCGCGTTTTGTCGTATTGTGTATTGTCGTCCTATTGTTTTGGTGCGGGTACTGTTGTGGTGCGGTTAGGGCTGGTGGTGTATTCGCGAATCCCCAGCGTCCGAAATACCACTTTATGCAAGAACATAAAACATAACTTGCCACTTGTAGTGGCAGTGCCGTGGGTGCTCTGGCCACAGCAGAAGGCTCACCAAGCCGGCCAGAGCTGCGGCGCGCTCACCCCGTCCAGTTCGCGCGCGCTCCATGGAAGAGGTCGACCGAGCGTCGCCACGAACGCTCTAGGCGCGGCTCTAAGCGCGACGTGTTCCTTGCGCGTCTAACCCGTCTTGCGTCAAACAAGTTGGCGAACGCCTGACTCCGACACCCGTTACTGCACTATGCGCATCCGTACATATGTGTTTCATGCGCAGCGACATGCATCATCGAACTTTTAGCTAACCAGTGCAGCACTCGCGGACTTAACATGCGTCGCTAAGGCAAAGAGCTCGAATGCGGCACTCAATGAATTTGCCTTTATGCATGGGGTCGTGTGCCTCCGCACGAGAGACGTGTCTTCGAACGACCATGTGTTATGGTCAGAAAGTGAAACAGAATACATGACGTAACAGGATCACCATACGCAAAAACACAGCAGTGTCCTGGACGCATGTTCCGTGCACTGACACCATCGTGGAATCGTGCCGTTTCAGCCACGGCGACATGTTCCAGGCGCGCCGCAACCAGCCTCGATGGTCCACATGCTCCGATGGTCCACATGCTCCAGAACGTCAATATTGGGTTTTGACACGCCGGGTGCACACCATGCTCCAGCCGCGAAAACCCGCGACGCTCAGCACCCACCCCATCTTCGGCGTGCCTTTTGCGCATAAACAAATCTGTCTACACTGTGAGAAATGCACGTGTGCGCCCCGCGACAACATGTCTCGAATATCAGGGCAAAACCATGCCATGAACCATAACGCAAGACATTTTCATGCGGGGCGCAACAATTTTGGGGCCGTTGGACATGCAAGTCGCTCTCTGGAGACGTCTTCGCTCGCCGCTACGCTTGGTAACGTCCCGTTGCGGTGGACACGGCGAATACGGCGAGCCAGGCTGCCGAGCCGTGGTCAACTAGTGCTGGCCAGGCGCCCTCCCATACTCGAGCGAACGTCGGTTCGCGAGGCGCGGGAAGCAGTCGCCGCCGAAGGACGGGTGGTCCCCCAACCATGGCTGGGCCGGACCACCGCGCCAGGCGTTGCAACAGATGACTGGGTTGGGCGCGGCGAGGCACTCTGCTGCGATGTGACCCTGGTTTCGCTACTGCGTGCAGACGGGCGCCCGCAACCGGCCTCGTCAGATCGGGATGGGATGGGGCCGCCATCGACGTCGCGCGGCTGCGCAAAAAAACGGTGCTAGACGGAACTGGCCAGCCCGGGCCCGCAACGCCGCGTCGTGCTGGCTGCGAGGGTCGGCGGGCGATGGGGGCATGAGGCGCACGACCTCGTCCGAAGCCTCGCGCGACAGCGGGCGCGCCGGCGCAGCCTACCGGAGACCAGCACAACCCGCTTGGTTGGGTCCTCGAGCTCGCCGAGGCTGAGCAGCCCTCGAGGTTGCCCCTGCGTGTGCGATGCGCATGAGACTACTGCGGTTGGGCGGAAGATGCAAATTGGGACGTCGCCGTCGTTCTCGCATGCGAGAGAGAGTCGCTGACGTGGAAAATGGGGACACGACAGTCACACATGTTTGTGCGCTGAACATGATGTCCCCGACACACTTGAAGTGTGCTGACCTGCCTCACCAAGCACAACGAAACTAAACACACGGTCTGTGTGAGAAACGCAAGGCGACAGCACATAAGCCAGCTCGAACAGCGCGGATGGCCAGCGTTGAATCCATGGAGGTGTCGTATGACAGCACAATCATCCCGATAACAAGGCACGTGAAAGTGTCGATGCTAGAAAAAAAAGTTGCCTGTTGGACGATGACTTGCCGGGATCCCGAGCTCTGAAGGATCGGTGCCCAAAAAGGCAATCTTTGACAGAAGGACTCCCATATCCTGACATTAGCACATAGCACGTGCAAGGGAAAATGAAAAAACGGTCAACAACGTTAGCCAGAAAGCTAACCGCACTAAACTACCTCAAAGTGAAATCGTGCGCGGTCCAAGCATCGATTCGGATGTCGGTGGGGATCGGGTGGCGAACAGGGAAGAGAGAGACAGGGTCACTCGCCTTGTTCCATATTTTCATGTTTGCGAATCTCTGCGCCGCACTGCCAACAGAAGGGCCGCCACATTTTTTGTCTCATCGTGGACATGAATTTTGTTCCATGCAAATCGTGTCTGCCTTTTGAAACGCTGGGCTTAACATGACCCCGCCATCGCCCCAACTTTTTTCCCCCTTTGCAGCATCACGTAAGCTATGCTGCCGGAATTGCGAAAGCACAGGGGAGAGGACGCGGCCTGTTGAGCTACAAGGTAAAAACAAGCGTGATGTGCAGCCTGGGCCAGATCAATGCGCGTGTGCGGAATAAATTCAGCGCGAACAGCTCCGCAAACCTGCAGCACCACAGCTCGCTGTACGGACAGCTCGCAATGCCAGCCAGGCCACCAGATCGATGAGGCCGAAGACGACGTGATCGGGCGCGGCTCGCTGCATCGGATAGAAACGTGTAATTATAGCGTTGCTACTGGCATCGCTCTGCAGTATACGTTCACGCACCTGCCGAGACGAAATGGCCAGAACGTGCCCCACCAACTCGGACAGAACGAAACCAGTCCGTCGTGCGAAGTTGAGAGAGCATCTGGCGGCAGAAACGCAGTACATACCCACCCGACGATTTCGAGGCGCGGCCAAACTTGGAAATCTCACAGGCATCAGAAGGCCATGGCGTCACCAATTGGCACATCCACACAGAACCCTGCAAATACCGATGGAATTGGCGTCGCTGGAGGGAAGAGCAGACCCCGTGCTCGATCCTTCACCACACGGTCCGCATGCAGAAAAAAACATGGTCGACATCGTCTTAAGCATCGTACAGCACAGTCATTCTACGCGTCGCCGTCGCAAGGTTCCCAGTAAACTGGGCCTCCGTGGTTCAGAAATCACCCCGTGAACACGCCCGCATACGCTCGCCGACAGGAGCCTTAAGTGGCTCTTCGTGCCGTCAGCACATGATACGAGTATATATACGGAGGTTTCCATCGTTTCCTATCATATACTTAAGCCCCATACTTCTTAGAAGTATACCCATGATCCTCCAAGCAAAGTCGTGGCAAGGCCAGGCAGGCCCCATGCACATGCAAGCCCGGTTAGGCACGTGACTGGCAAAGTCGGTCCTGAGCGCATGTCCAAACTCAAGCTACGAGAGACCGGTTGAAGATCTTCTGATCTTGCATGCGGAAGCCTTGCAGTCAACAGGAACTCAAACACGGAGTCGTTGCGATTGCATTTAGGTCACCACCGGAAAATTGCACGCGTTGGCGGCAGCGTAGCCGTCATGTTGCAGAACGACGTCATTGCGACTGCAATCGTTTTCGCGTAACAAGAACTCAACGTCGCAGTAGCTACTGACATGGTCCATTACCAACCGTTCTATTGCCAATGCTCTGGGACCGCGAGCCCGGTGGCCAACTCCGTTCTGCTTCGTTCCATCGCGGCACCATTGTTGTAATAAACTCTCCGTCAATCCGCATCCCGACGCGATCGCAAATAAGGCCTCGAAGGCCTTGTGTCAACTCGTCGCCTCGGAAGCCTTGTCTGTTGAAAAACGACAGCAGGCCCAAGCCAAAGTCGCTATGCCGCACTCGCCCTCCCAAAGGGTCCATGTACCTATATAGTGTATGCTTGGGGCTTACAGCTCCTATAAAGTAGCTTTAGGGCCCAAGTATATACTGTATAGGTACATGGACCCTGGGGGCCTGTCTCGGCGCTACCATTGTCAAGCTCGAAGCTTCCCAGGTGGCCTGAATGTCGTCCCCTATAAGGGTTCTTGGTAACCTCTGCATTTTGGAGGTAGAACACCACACAGTAAACGCTTCACCCTAAACCCTGGAAGCAAAATCTTAAACCCTAAGCCCTAAACCCCGAACCCCACTAAACCCTAAACCCTAAACCCTAAACCCTAAACCCTAAACCCTAAACCCTAAGCCCTAAACCCTAAACCCTATAAACCCTAAACCCTAAACCCTAAACCCTAAACCCTAAACCCTAAACCCTAAACCCTAAACCCTAAACCCTAAACCCTAAACCCTAAACCCTAAACCCTAAACCCTAAACCCTAAGCTAACCCGCGCCCCCAAACCGAACTTCCTTGAACGGAGCGGGTCCTTCTACGATGGCCTCGCCCAGCCTCGTCCCACCAAGACCATCCTCAAGATATTCTCGGGGGGTTCAGGGGTAGTTCTGGGTAGGGTTTGGGGCTTAGGCTTTTGGTTTAGGCCCAGTTTAGGCTTTAGGTTTTAGGAGTAGTTACAAGAAGGTTATAAGCATGGTAACTATAGTACTTAGAACTCTTCATGAACTTCTTCCAAGTAAGGGTATGCAGGGATGGTTTAGGCCCGCTCAGGGTTTGAATTTAAGGTGATGAAATGGAGGCAGGAATCAGGGGATTCGCAATGAGGGAACCTACATCCCCAACAGCAGAAAAAATGGGGGCCATTACAACCTTGGAAGTTGTGGTGGGTCAGCAGATCAAGCAGCGCGGCGTAAGGGGCAGAAGAATTGGCATGCAACGGTGCAGTTCAGACATTTTGCGTTTGGGGTTTATAGGGCCTATGTTTGCAGGAGCAGCATACATGTCTGGAGCCTGGGCGGACATAGAATCCGTACTGCTGTGGGCTGCAGGAGACACAAGACGCACAGCGCTCCAAAGACAAGGGCTGCAGGTTTCAGAGACCTTCATGCATTTTGGCATATACAGGGGTTGCTTACATATCAGTGGGCCTGCAAGTTCCGATGAACCCCCTCGTGCCTGCACAGAATTTGGTGTCTAGGATTTGAATGAAACCCTAATTCTAAAGCCCGTAGGCGCTTGGGGCCCTCGCAAACGGAGGCTTGGCAAGAAGAGCGGACAGCTTGGCAACCTGGTTGGCTGCTGAGTACCCTCTCAACTCTCTAATCCCTCCAAAGCCTCTAAAATCCCTCCAAAGCCTAACAAAACCCTCTAAGCACTCTAAACCCCACTAAAGTCGCTCAACACTCTAAACCCTCTAAACCCTATAGGGTTCCTAAAGAGGCACGGACATCTTCAGGCTTGAGGAGCCCCCACGCATTGTTTTGCTTCTGCCTTTGCTAGAAGTAACATCGCTAGCTTTCGTACTTTGATTCCCTATGCCTTGGGGACTACACATGAACCCTAGACGGGCTTATGGTCCATCTACCCCAATTGGGGCTTGCAGCAGTAGAGGGTATAGGATTCGCGCTCAGGGTTTTTATGTACCCGATAAGTGGGGATGTTCCCCCTTATACCCAGAGTCCGAAATAAGGATTCTAACGCGGGGTACTCTAATCCCTCTTAAAGGCTGTTAGAAGAAGGGGGAGCATCCCAATACAAGCCCTAAACCCTCAACCCCTTGTAGGGCTTAGCATTTGGACTCCCGAACTGGGTCCATCTTTGGCTACGGGGGCTTCTCTAGGGGTTTAGGGTTTAGGGTTTAGGGTTTATAAGGTTTAGGGTTTAGGGTTTAGGGCTTTGGGGAACCTTGGGTCTTCGCCCCTCAACCCTGAACTCTCTATTTTGTGACTCCGCGTGGATCCAAGAGCTGAGAGTAATCCAGGAACAGCGATGGGTGCACGCTTTGGTTTAAAGGGGCTGACAAGAGAACCAAACAGTTAAAAAAATGATAGAAAAGGGGAATAACCTTGCTCGACAGCTTCATAGGTTTTCATTCAGTTTGAGGCTCGTAAAGTTTCAACCTGTCTCATACCTAGCGCGCAAGTGATTTTTTTTCCACCCTGGGGGGCGCGCCAGCGGTCCAAAATACCAGTGACTCGCCATGGGCGTGGTCTCCCAGTGCACCTGCCGCGCTGGCGACGAGGAGCTCCACATGTGATCCCCCAACAAGACCACCTGTACTTGGAGGTTCACGGCACTTATAACCCAATTATATGTGTAGTTATAAACCACTTATAAGCCCCTGAAGTGCCCTAATAGGGTTACAAGTGGGCTATAAGTACAGTTAGATTTGGGTTGCTAAGTGCTCCAAATATCCTCAACAACCTGAAGCTTAAGGACTCCATAGACCCTCAGAGTGAGAAACCGGTAACCCTGAACCCTATGTGAACCCCTAAACCCTAAACCCTAAACCCTAAACCCTAAACCCTAAACCCTAAACCCTAAGCCCTTTATAGCTTAAAACCCTGAACCCTGCTTGCGGGTTGCAGGGCGGAGCTACTCCGCTTTGTGAAGCACTGAAGCCCTCTACATGACATTGCCAAGTCTTTCATTGTCATGTCCTGTGAGCTGTGAGGTTACTGCAGAGTTGCTTTGTCAGTATGAGAAACTTCGACGCCTCTCAAGCCCGTGTGCATCCGATATGGGAATTAACGATATTGGAGGTACTTTATGGGGTCCTTATTTTAAGGGGATCCTCCTATTTAAGGGACTATACGAGGGGTCCCCTATTTTCGTAAACCCTAAACCCAAAAACCTGGAAACCCGAACACCGGGGCCACCTTACCATCCTCGTCATGGGCAGCAGCCGAGAGGACGGCAAAGGGCGACAGCACTAAGTCCTGTACTCGGAGGTTCATGGGTACTTACAAGTAGGCTTGCAGGCTCCCTTAACTGGGTCAGAGGTATAAAACCCTAAACCCTAAACCCTCATGACCCTACTCATCTTGCTGGTCGTGCTCCCGTCTGATAGGGCCGCTTAAGAGGATTTTCGGCACCAAACCCTCCCCAACCCTAAACCCTAAACCCTAAACCCTAAACCCTAAACCCTAAACCCTAAACCCTAAACCCTAGACGCTCCGGATGGAGCCCTCCCTGAACTGCAGGTGCCAGGTGTAAGATGTGAATGACAGGGAGCCCTGTCGGGCTTTGGGCTTCATACCGCTTTGCACAGGAAATAAGCGCATCTAGGACTAGGGTTTAGGGTTTAGGGTTTATAGGCTTTAGGGTTTAGGGTTTAGGGTTTAAGGTTTAGGGTTTAGGGTTTAGGGTTTAGCGTTCTCAAGGTTTATGGGGCACCCCTCCCCCGAGCTATGAGTCGAACTCCCGGCACCAGGAAGGTGGGAGCTTTCCACCCGGCCTCCTCGGCACCCAGGGGCTCGCCTTGGGTTTAGGGTTTAGGGTTTAGGGTTTAGGGTTTAGGGTTTAGGGTTTAGGGTTTAGGGTTTAGGGTTTAGGGTTTAGGGTTTAGGGCTTAGGGTGCACATAGGATTTTGGTTTTAGGCCTCACGAAGAACAGTGCGTAGGTTTCGGGAAGGTCTCAGAGTGCGTGCGTGTGTGTGTGTGTGAGAGAGAGAGAGAGACAGAGAAAGAGAGAAAGAGGGTTTTGATGTTCAGGTTCTAGGGGAAATCCGGTTCAGGGCTTGTCGTTGAAGGTGTCGCATCTGGGGTGCACATGTATCGGGACTTGCTGATCTGCTTTTTTGCGGGTGCTGCCAGTTGATCTGGCTTCCGCTGGCTTCTACAAGCACTACAAGCCCACAAGCCTTCTGCAAGCTGCGCGGCGAGCTGCCACAGCTCCTTGGGAACAAACACAGCTCATGGTCTTAGAGCAGCGGCAGGCAGAGGTGGGTTTTCAACACGCTTCTTGCTCTAGACTTGGTGTGTGTGTGTGTGTGTGTGTGCGCGCGCGCCCCTTAAGGCTGGTAAGTTTGGGGCCATACGGAACTACTGAACACGCAACAGCCGCACTGCAAATCTCAAGGAATGAATGGGGTGCGCCATGAGAATGACAAATGGCTCCAACTCCTGGAGTGCGTACGCACGTCCGCTCAGAAGCAAAGTAACACCGTCTGTGCCGGGGGGGTGGGGGGGGTGGAGAGGAGCCCCTAAACCCCAAGGATCCATGTACCTATATGGCATTTACTTGGGCCCTAAAGCTACTATATGGGAACCCCCTTTTAAGGCCCAAGACACAGGGCTTTGGGATGACAACCGGCCTTCAAGCTCTTTCGAGCAGGGCCCATACATAGTCTTACCTAGCCTCTCACGAACCCGAACTCCCAACAGTGATCTAGAAAAGAAGGGGTTTAGGGTTTAGGGTTTAGGGTTTAGGGTAGCCTTCTTGGGGTTTAGGGTTTAGGGCTTATAGCGGGAAGGGAACCTAACCCATGCGGCCCTCTGCGTCCATGCGTAGCCGTGAGCCCCGGCCCGGCCTTCATCCAAACCCCATTGAACCCTCTAGCCTGGCCCTAGTCTAAATCCAAACATTACCTTACTTCTCCAATAACCAATGGGAAAAAGGTCAAGCTTCATTTTCCCGACTAAGCCCGGAAACCCAAACAGTATGTAGCTCAGCTGGTGGCTAAGTAAGTTTTTAGGCGCTAAAGCATCAGAACCCTCAAGCTCAGCTGTTGGCTAAGTATAAGTTATGAAGACCCTAAAGTTCCCAAAGCATCAGAACCCTACACCCCCGCAACCCTGAAGCCCTAAAACCCTAGAGCCCCAAGATGGCTTCAAAGACTCCAAGCCCTAAACCCTAAACCCTAAACCCTAAACCCTAGAGCCCTAACATCCCAGAACCGTCAAGCCATCGCTTTGGGTAACCAACCCTAAAATCCGGAAGCAAACGATGCCAACTTCTCAAAACTGTGGTTGGTGCTATACTTAGGGTTTAGGGTTTAGGGTTTAGGGTTTAGGGTTTAGGGTTTAGGGTTTAGGGTTTAGGGGTCAGGGTTTAGGGTACAGGGCTCGTAGGACTGGAATTTATAGGGTTCAGGGAGTCACAAAGTCCTCCTGTGTTGCACCGTCGAACATGGCGCTGGAGGCCTTGAATGAACAGGGCTCAGGGTTTGTTTAAAGGGCTTTTTCTACGGGGCAGTCTGAGATTACCCCTTACATACCATAAGCAGTAGTCCCCTTGCAAATTTTGGCAACCTAGTTGTTCATAGTAGGAAACGCTAAGCCCGATAAACCTAAAGCCTACCTCTTCAACAGCACCAGCGACAACCCTAGAAACCCTAAACCCCAGAACAAGCCTCGGCACCCTACACCCCAAACCCCATGGTAAATCTATGAACCCAAACCCCAAAAACACCATGATAAACCGATAAATGCCAACCCTAAACCCTAAACCCTAAACCCCAAACCCTAAACCTAAACCCTAAACCCTAAACCCTAAACCCTAAACCCTCCCTGAACCCTCAGCCCGAACCGGGCTCCGGTCGGGAATGTCCGGAAGCCATGGAAGGCCGACCGCACTGCTCTGCAACTGTGAGACCTGCGTGGGGTTTAGGGTTTAGGGTTTAGGGTTCTGTGTTTAAGATTTAGGGCTTAGTTTTCAGGTTTTAGGATTTAGGGTTAAGTGGGACCCCCCCCCCTCCCTTCCCCACTCAGCTACAGTACCACAACGGTGGTTGAGTAGTTGAGGGACACCTAGAGCTGAAGTTATGCGACTTTACCTTCTCTCTTTCTGGAGCTTTGCGCGCCCACGTTACGACTAGGTGGCCGGTCCTTGCTGTTGCTACTTTTTGTGGGTTTCGGGCGTTTTGGGCGATGATGTGGCCACGGGCTTGCCCTAAACCCTAAACCCTAAACCCTAAACCCCAAACCCTAAACCCTAAACCCTACACCCTAAACCCGAGTGTAGAGTAAGGTGCGGAGCTTACAGGGGCTGCGCAAGTCGACGGTCAGTGGCTTGAGGAGCATTCTCGGAGGCCGTGATAAGCCCCTGCGTCATCAACAACATTTTTCAGCCCTCGGAGCCACCTTGAACAACCCTAAACCCTAAACCCTAAACCCTAAACCCCAAACCCTAAACCCTAGACCCTAAGATCCTGAACCTTGAGAAGCTCTATGAGGCTGCCCCTTATTCCCAAGTCTTGAAGCCCTGGGACAACAGGTTGCTGTCTGGTAGGTCCCGGCTTATTCTTGGCATGCTCCGTTTGAGGGTCTCCTTCCTCTCGTGAAGCACCAGGATTCTCGGCGACACCCATGCTTCGCCTATCATTGAGCTCTAAACTCTACTTGGAGGTACATGGGTAGCTAGAAGTAGGGTGATAAGTACCCTAAAGAAGGTTGCAAGGACAGTTGCCATACTTATAAGGCTAGTTATCACTATCCATGAACCTCCAAGTACAGCATGTCTTCAGCAACACCCCTGGCCCCTTTACCTTGATTTCGGCGGTCGGAGCGCATGAAGCAAACAAACGATGCTGTCGGATTCAGCCAACGACTTCTGAAGCGTTCCCCCCTTTGCCATCCAAATACCGACCTTTCAAGGGCGCATGGTGGACCGGCGTAAATGGGTGGGACTCAAAATCCGGATGTGCAGAAGCAGTTGCACAACTGCCTGATGTGCTTAAAGACGTGTAGAGGACCCAAATTCACATTCATTAGTCAATACGCTATACAGCTTATAGCCCTGGTCCGGGCACACCCGTCTCAGCTGGCACCTCTGTCGACAGGTCTGCCCTGGATTCGAGGTGACCAGCACAAATACATGCGAGTCTTGTTAAAAGAAGGTTTCAGGCACTTAAATTATGATGGGAACTTTGATGCCTTTGGAGCACTGCTCAGTGGCAGATGCAGCCTGGCTTTCGTTTACAGATGTGAGATGTCAAGTCATCTCAGATGAAGGGAGAGACCTTTTTGACGACGCCCCGGCCCTGGCTGTAGTGGTAGAGCGTGGTGTAGCCCAAGTGGAAGGGCAGCCAGGCGTACTGCAGCGCCTTGCCCAGGATCTTGTGGGCGTCGATGGACTGCTTGGCCAGGCGGTCGTTTCGGCGGTCGTCCTCTGCGTTGCCGGTCTTGTCGGAGCCGGGCGCCCACTTGAGGAAGTACTCGCTGGCGATGCCGGACACCGGCAGTAGCAGGGCGAAGGCGTAGAAGGCCCGGAGGCTCTGGGTTTCGATCATCTGCACGAGGGCGTTGCCAGGGAAGCGAGGCGGGATGCCGCTCTGCATGCGGAAGATCACGCGGAAGACGAGCGCCACCAGCATCAGGATACCAGTCTGTTTGTGCCACCAGAGCAACTGTTTCTTCGCCTGGCCCTCCGAGTAGGATGCGGCCTGCGCGGTGCCCACAGCGCCGAAGATGCCCACGGCCATGATCAGGTGCATGTGCCTCAGGGCCCGGCTGTAGGTGAACTGGGACAGCGGCTTGCGGTTCTGGAAGGTCTTGTACAGGTACCAGGCCAACCCAGCAGCAGCCAGGTCTGCAGCCTTGTATTTGAGGAACCGGGCGATCTCCGAGGTCTCCTCGCCGACCACCTGCTGCACCGCAGCGCTCTCGGACCAGTCGGTGTTCTCTCCCGGCACCAGCTGGCCCACCAGCAAGTCGCGGTCCCTCTGCACACGGGCCTTCTCGGAGTGCTCGAAGACCTCGAAGTCCTTGGTGCAGTCCGTGCCCGCCTTGGACAGCAGGATGTCGTCACCTCCCGGGTGGCTGCCCAGCAAAGGCTTCAGGTTGTAGACACGGTTGTGGATGATCATGTAGGGCTCCTCCGCGGTGTTGTGCTTCGCCACCTCTGCGCGGGAGAAGAAGGGCAGGTCCTTGCCCGCGGAGATCTCTGCCAGCTTCGGGAAGCGGCTCTCCTCCGCCAGCGTGGGTGCGTCCGTCTTGCCCGGCACCTTCACCGCAGTCTTCGCCGCCTCGATGTCCTCCTTGGACGGGCCCTCCAAGCGCCGCAGCTCGTCGTGCAGCTCACGCAACTTGCGGATCACCGGGTCCACAGGCATCTCCGGACCCACTTTGCCGGTCTTGAACTCGGGGCGCATGTAGAACTCCATCCACTGCGTGCTGGGGAACCGGCCCGGGATCTTGTTCCACATGGGCGTGGCGTCGCGGCCGGTCCAGGCCAAGATCGTGTTGCGCTGCTCGGGGTGGTGCTGCAGGAAGTCCGTGAGATCGTAGACGTCTCCGTTGAGCGCGATCCAGCAGTCATGGGGCTTGTTGTGGCGTGCCACCTGGGAGTTTACGAACATAAGGGAGCCCCAAAATAAACCCCCAAATAGTAGGATTCCCTTAAACAATACGGACACCAAGAAGCTGCCTAGTTTCGGAACCCCCCCACCTCCGACAGGGGGATGTCGGTGCTGGAGTAGCCCACCGGCACTTCATGCAAGTGCGCGTGCTCCTGCGACTGGAAAAAGGGGCGCAGCCTCTCTGGGGCCTGTGGGGCCCTACTTTTGTTCGAGGCTATCCAATACTCCTGCAATGAGCATAGGGACTTAGAAAAAAAACCATGGCATACACGTTGCATGGCTTAAGGAGTGCATAAATATCCTACAACACCATGAGTTCCTCTCTTTTCCCTTAGCACTTACCCCTTAACACCTCAGCCGCTCCTGTGCGGACAGCAGGATCTCCATCTCCTTCTTGACATCCGCCGCCTTGCTGAAGTCCTCCACATCTCTCAGGCAAGCAGGTTATCTAGACCCAGGAGTAACCTAGGAATAAAGAAAGTAGCCTTTTTGGTTCTAAGGGGATTCTAAGGGAACCCCAACCCTAAAAAAAGTGAATAAGGGCCTACTCGGGGTCCTAATCTGGTTCTCGAGCTGTTTCGAGTTTTAGGATGACCGGCCGACCTGTGGCTATGTAGCCCTGAGGGTCCATGTACCCTTGAAGGCCCAGGAAAACACTATACAGGTACATGGACCCTTAGGGTAGATGCAATAAGGTTTGAGTTCAGAGTATATCGAGAGCCCTGAACTCCTGATATATGCTGTTTTGCAGGTCGCATCGGAGACAGAGAGTTCCCTGTCAGGGTTCTATGAGGGACACAGAGTGTATCAAGCGGCACATACTGTGAAGCTAGGCTATGAGCCTCTCCAACCTTGTACAGTAAACCTCACAAAACCCTAGGCCCTAAACAATAAACGCTATAGACCCTAAACCCTCTAAACCCTCTAAACTCTGTAAACCCTATAAACCCTAATTCAGGATGGGCTATAGACCTACAAACCCTAAATCCCCAGTCCTCTGCATCCAGGGCCACGCGCTTCTGCGTCTCCAAGCGCTGGAGCTTGACCTTCAGCTGTGCGTCCAAGCTCCTCGGTGATTCGGAACACAAAAGCATTGGAACGGACAAACATACGGTGTGTGTGTGTGTATATATGTACATATATATATATATATGTATATGGTCACACCCCCCCCCCATGATCCATATGTATCCTTTTCTTGCTTGTCCTTCTGCACCTGTGCTTATTTGCACATATGGTTGATGTGAAAACACACCGGTATTTACGATACTTTCGTGTCTTGCCATGTCTGAAGCTACAACTTGCTATTGATTATCTACACTTTTAAACAACAGAAATCTACAAACAGAATCCGTTTCTGGATTTGGTTTTGTGTGGTTTGCTAATCTCTGTTATTCACTCTATAGTAGCTTGCAATATACACCTTCTTGAACTTCAACAATATTCATTGATTAGATAAATATTACCTTATAAACCATTGTATAATGCATGAACATAAAAGAAGAGATGAAGGGGTTTCAAATAAAGCACCTAACACAAGAAGCAGACTACATAATGAAGTTAGAGACGAATTCGCAAAGACAGAGACATTCTTAACGGACACGCAAGGACTTAAATTATCGTATGAGAATCCTGACGGGATATATCAAAAATGGTTCTATTTTATACATTGCTGGGACTAAAAGCTGTAGAGATGTTTATGGTGATTGAAACCTTCCTTTATATAAGACGCAACTGACTCAGTGTTATAAAGATGTAGATAAGTTCATTCAAGATGGTTTTATTGAAATAGACGGTTAAAGAAAAGAAGAAACTGGAATTTCTGGTATTGTAAGTCACAGTTTAGGTTCAGCATCGGGACAACAAATAAACAATGATTATGGGAATGTATTCAGAAGTCGTAGCTATGGTTCTCCTTATGTATCAGGACAACGACCAGAAGACACTGGGACAAAACATATGAATACGGAAAGTAGAAGACCCCGTTAGTATGTTTGGGTTCGGGGGGCGAAGTCAGCCGCTGCGTTTTTTGGGGTTTTACATGCAGCGACTTTCCGCCCCCCACTAAAATTTAGAGACTGGGCTCAGTCCTGAAAGGATAATGCCCCTTATATATAGAAGCGAAAGTGCTTTTTGAGTTTTGAAACTCAGCATCTCGAGCTGAGACTCCTGGTTTCTATTGTGACTGACAGCTGAAGAAATATATACTGAATCATGAAACACCACGAATGCATGCATTTCTTTTGCATTTCTTTCCACATGCTTTCTGCACCTGATCATCAGTGTTTCTGTCTAA